GATGTAAACTTTTTTGACACGTTTGTGTTGAGGTTAGATCTAAAAGAAATATGAATAAAAGATTAAACAAAAAAACAAGCACATTTTCAGTTGTTGCCTTGCCCTTTTATTTTCAATCATGTGTGCAGCTCTGCTGGCAGAGCTCTGCCTGTGATGCCTGAATAAAGTGCATATTTTTAGGGTTTCACTGAAAAAAAACGTGTGGAATAGATATACCAAGTTGAAAGCTTCCGTAGCTCTTAGTTCTTTCTTTGTCTTTCCATGTATAGCTAGAATTTCTGTCCTCCCTGTAGTCTTCCCACCTTCTATAACGTATGTGTGTTGCATGTCAGCAGCCGCAGACCATCTTTCTGTCATTCACATCAATCATTTTCCCATTACCCTAATGCGTTTGTCCTTTGTCACACCTGAGGAGCAGCCTCTGAGTGGATTCACAGCTGGTGTCCATCCTTCCTGCTCTGTATGTGCCCTCACCTTTCCAGGCTCCATGTCTCCTCTAGCCGACCGACAGTCATCCAATCTTTCAACATTGCACTGTATGTCAATGAGTGAGTCTAAGTGTATGTGTGTGTGTGTGTTACCATCAGCTGCAGGAAACCTGATCACAGCACTCATGCATAAAAGAGAGGAAGAGGGAGCAGTGGTGAGACAGAGAAATGCAGAGTTGCAGTTCCTAGTTTTCCCCTGTGATGGGGAGAGGACTGCCTGGGCTTTTCAATGTCTGATGTGATGAGACAATGTTAAAGCTGTTGTAGTCAAACAAGAAGAGCCACTGAATGGATGGAGGGCAGATGAATTAGCTGATGCTGCGGATATGCCTTTTTGTAGAAGAGGGATTAAAAAAAAAGTACATAATGCAATGTCAGGTTTTGATGTTCGACAAAAAAAAAAAAAAAAAACTGTCACAATGGTTGTCATAAATGTGGTATTTTTGGGTGACCACAGCATAAGACCAGCCTGCAGTTGTCTAGTCATTACAACACATTCTTGTGCTCTACAGCAGCCACTAGTGGGCGAAGAGCAGTGGGCTCTGAAACTCAGCATGTAGCATTGCATGGCAATGCCATCGCATTATGTCCCAGCAGCTCTCTGTTAGAGTGCGTCTCCGGCCATCATTTCGCTTTCCCTTCCGCCGCCTCGTCTCTGGCGTTCCTGCTTTCAGGGTGTAGTAAATTAGAACGAGGGCCAGGCTTTAGTGCTCTGTCTGAGTTCTCTGTCTCTGATGACACAGCATCCTCCTGTACTGGGCTGAAAAAGGGATGGGATGGGGTGGGGGCGAGTGTGCTCTCACTGTTATCCAGACTGGTCGAACGAAAGGGGGTGGAGTAAGGGATTTTTTTTCCTTTGCAGTGCAGCATATCGCTAAGGAAGTTGGATGATTTTTTTGCTTGTAGGTTTTGATTTGCCGTTCATTTATTTGTAGTAATGTATATTGAGGATTTCTACCACTTATAACTGGTGGGCTTAAGGAAATGTCCTGGAGTCATGCTTTTTTATATTGATTTAATCTTAAATGGCATCAAAGGGCCCCATCACAATTCAACAAAGCACTAAAGTCTCCCAGTGACCCTTTTTTGCATGCACTCAGGGGTCCAAAATATTCTTTTTGTGCTCTGGCAGGAAGAATCTGAGGGTTTTATGAGTCATCAAAGTGCCTCAGACTCTGTTTGAACTTATGCTGAACATTAAGATGCAAATAGCATTATTTTCTAAGACACCAATATGAGGTCAAAGCTTTAGATGGCCAACCTAATTTTGAACCCCTTTCATTTCAAGGACCATTGTAGAATTTTGCATTGTCTTTAGTGTGTAGTTGAATGTTAAACCCTCTTTTTGTAAGTCGCTTTGAATAAAAGCATCTACTAAATGCATAAATGTAAACATCCACCTTCCCAAAACGATCATTTTAAGATTAAGTAAAAAACGAACTAAAATTTGACATTTTCTGACGTCACTTCAGGTAGAAAGGACAGTGAAGGTCAATATTAGTTTCAAACAGTGTACTTAAAATGCACATGAATATAAGCTAACTATTGCCCGTGACTTGTAATTTATTATTTAGCTAAACTTAGAAATCTTTGCCCTGTGTGTGATTATTTTGGACCCTGCTGTACAGTCTACACACTAATAAAGTTAGGATGTGCATATATGCAGAAAATGGATTATGTGCAACCAAATAAACATAAAGAGAAATAAATGAACATGATTTATAAGACATTGAGAAACATTGTGAAAAAAGATGCAAAAAGCAGAAGGTTCAGCCTTTTCTGCTAAAAAATAAGCAACCCCCCCATCAAAATAGCTGAATATTATCATTTTTCTTGCATAATCATTTGTTTTCTTCACTTAAATCCCCCTGAGAGGCCAAATCTGGATTGAGTTCTGTAAAAGAATCGATCAGTTTGTGACAAACTCAGGTTTTTGCATTTTGAAGAGAAGTATATCTTTCCCTCTCCATGATATGCTCCCGTTCTTAGATCTCATTGGTCTCTTTCTTTCTTCATCCTTTCCTCTTCTCCTCTTTCTCAGTTTCACTCTCTTTAACTGCATACTTACCTATTCCTCCTCCTCCCTTCCCTCTTTCTACCCATCTATCTCAGGTTTGGCTCTCCTTTCTCTGCAGCTCTTTGGCTTTCTTCTCTGCAACACTCCCCCACCATCCCCTCATTGCTCGCTATTCATCTCTCTTTGCTGCTGTCCCGTACCCCCGCAAGCCTCTCTCTGTATCCTTGTTTAACTGTTCCTCCTACCCACCCGAGCACGCGGACAAATACACTCATCTCTGCCCCTGCAGCTGCATTCTGCCTCCTGGTTTTTGCTCGTCCTTATGTCTCATTAATGGTTTAATGGAGAACATTTCCACAGCTTTGCATCAGATATGACTTTGTCCAGTGAAGCCTTTCCTGTTAATGTGTGTGTTAAGATGTGTGTGTGTGTGTGTGTGTGTGTGTGTGTGTGTGTGTGCAGATATATTTCGTTTCAGTTACATGGATCATCTTTAATCCAAAATGTTAACATGCGAAACATTTAAACACTTTAATATAGTTGTTGGATAAATATATGTTTTCTTTTTGCTTTATTATAAATAAGACCGTCAGTGGTGTTGAACTCATAGCCAGTGACTGAAGAAGATTCACTGAATTTATGTACAAATTCAAGAGAAATGGACTATATATACATATTATCAATCAGCCTGGCTGGCACTCACTCATGGGGTGAAGTTTTCCAGGTTGAAGACTTTAATTAATTACAAATATATGGTTATTAATGTCCAGACACAAGTGGGGTTTTCCAGTGGTTGGATTTCTGATTGTTGCACTTTATAAGAAGGGAATGCTAGACATCTGAGCTGCAATTGAAGCCTATTGTGGCTGCTTCCCTGTTATAGAATTCCTCCCATTTCACCGAATGCTTGACTTTTGTATCTGCCAATATTTGAAGTTTGAAATTTGTACACTTCAGTAATCTCTGACCATTTTATTTGATGCATGTTCTTAGTTTTCATGGTCTTTGTTTTTTGCATTGATGTGTAGGATTTCCATATATTTTCAGTTTTTTACTTTAAACTACGCTGCAGAAATACTCAATGAAAGCTTTTGTGAAAGCAGTTTTTGGTTAAGTTTCTAAAAGGATCTGTGAGTCATTCATTATCGATTAATGTCACAGATGATCGATTAGGGAAATAGCCTGACATTTGCATCCGTTGTAGTGATCACATCAAGCTGCCAAGTGTGAATCAGCAGCACATTTTTCTGTCTCCTTGTTGACACTGTTCATTGAGAGGGTGATAACAATCTTTTCATCTGAGTGTTGTCTGCATTGAAACTTGAACTTAATTAACATTATAGTTATGCAGATATATTTTTTCTAAAATTATTTACAAAGGATTTAAGGCCCTATTTAAGAGGAATATGGCAATTTTCTTCTCGACAAACATCTGGAACATCAAAAGATATGCAAGGCAAGTGTAAATTTGAATGAGGTATTTCTCACTTCCATCTGGATCAGCAAAAACAGTTGACCTGACGTTTGAGAGAGCAATGTAGGACTCTGACATGACTACAGATCCTGTGCTTTTCTGTTTAAACTGTACTCACTGATCAGAAGGGATGTGCCTATGTTTGTACTGATGTTTAGTTTATGCAAGGATCAGTAAGAAAGATTAGTAAGTAAGTTAGAAACAGTAATGCATAACATGAACAATATCAGATGGAAGCTTTCTTCTCATCTCTGACACGTTTAGTTGCCCTAGTTGTCGAGATCAAATTGTGAATACTGATCTGAGCTGCTAACTTGTATACTCTGATCCCATGATGAATGTTTTTTCATGTTCAAACCTGAATAGTGAAGCACCTTTAGTTGATTATCTGGCGCTTTGTGTGGTGTTACCACTGGCTTTGCATGAAGCTTAGTGGCATTGTTTGGTGTAATTTGCAAAGTGGTTGTCTGAAAAGTTAAGATTGCCAATACGTGCAATCTGTCTGGTGTTTGATGAGACACTGCAGTGTTTCCATTTCTGTTGCAGTTGTTGTGTTAGGATGTGGGAGCTTACATAACCATAGCCATAAACAGAAAATGTAAGATTTGCCATATTTTCTTCAAGAGAACAGCACCCACTGGTCTCTCCATTGACCTTGAGCTAATTTATTCGTCGGCATGTTTTAATCTTTTAGCATATGCAAATGATCTATAAAGGTCTGTCAATCGAGTAGTCTAAATCTGTCCCTTAAATCTTTGACAAACTCTTTTTGTACAACACATACAAAGATATTTCTAGCCGCTGAAAGCTGATGCCGCTTGTAAAACATATTGAGGACAAATTCAGGGGACTTGCTAAGTCTCTGTGGTGGAAAAGGGACAAGAAAATATGGGGAGGAGTCCTTGAATTCAGAGAATACACTGAGTTTGTGTTGGAGCTGTCCACTTCTTCACTATAGAGTCCACTATGTAGTAAGTCAGCCATTTTATAGAGCTGTTTAAAAATTCATCTGAAACTTTTATGCACTACAAACTCATGGCGTGGCACATCAAAGCTGTGCTCTATATCGGTCAGAGTGGACCATCATGCATTGCACCCTGGAGGATGGAGCTGACAATGTGCTACTGCTCGCTACATTTAAATAATGCTAACATTTAGAGCATGTTATCCTTACCCGTTAGGAATAATACACCTCAAGAGTCCTCAATCCATGAGTGGTTAAACCTTTTTCTGTCTGAGACCCAAGATTTGAGAACTTCAGAGTAATATTGCAGGACGGTGCAAAACGCTGCCTCTCTGTGTTGTCGGCCACCTCTGGTCTGATCTGTGTACATGTGATTAGACCTCTTATTTATTGATTATGTGATGCTTTGCACTGTTAAACGTAGAGCGTGGTGTGTTTTTTTTTTAAATACTGCCAGCTGACACAGCCGGCCGTATCAGACGCACATGGGAGGGGTTGTGGTGAACAAGGAAAAGCACTCAGGCAGTATACTAATACATATCTTAACCACACATTTCGTTCAAACCTTTCATTTGTTAAGTGTCACATTAGATTTCTGAACTGCACTGGGTAGATGTTAAAAAAAGAAAGAAGAAGACCGAGGAGCAATGGTAACAGAATCTGTACTGGGCCTCAGTGATTGGGTCGTACGTAAATTACAATCATACTTCTCTCCCTGACCCCACATGCCTTTTGTCCAAGACTGTCAGACCACACAGAAATGCACAAACAAGCAGACACTGCTGCCTCACCCCAGTGCCCATCCCCACTTGGCCCAGTGCAGTTTATGGGTAGGGAGTGGTTGTTGAGAGCCTAGAGTCAGCAGATCTCCCCTGATCGATGACAACACTTGCGGTTCCTTTCCAGTAAGAGCTTTAAACTTGGAATGAAGAAAGTCATTTGGCTACAAAGGCAGCAGTGCTTCCCATGTCCCAGCCTATTGTTCTAGAGACAGCTCCCAGCATTTGTCACAGCGTAAAGCCAGCCAGCACAGCGGTATGCCCCTGCTTTTTGGGTGACTGGTCCTGTCAGCAGAGTAAAACCCGACCTTGCATCATCACGTCCTATGATTTCATGTCTTTCTCTGTACGGTTGTATTTTCCTCCTACTGTTTTTTTATCCTATTATGTATAGTTTGAGACTAAGGCCCAGGGTCTCTTGTCATACTGTAAATATTTCATAATGAGTACCTACCAGAAAGTTAATGCTTCCATCAAACAACCGTCTTCAAATTGAATTCCGTATCTGTAGCTTAAAGTGTCATATTACTTTGAAATTAACCATGTGAGCTCTCTTAAAAAACAACAACTATTAGATTAGCTATCAAATGTCTGTGTCATAAATTTAGTCCTATGATTTGTCTAACTCCCTTTTTTTTCTGTCTTCTCTCCACAGACCTTTATAGTCCTAAACAAAGGGAAAACACTCTTCCGCTTCAGTGCCACGCCCTCCTTGTACATCTTAAGCCCTTTTAATCTACTTAGGCGAATAGCAATTAAGATTTTGATACATTCATATCCTTTCAAGTGATTTCTGATCTTTGAGCTGTACTCAGTGACAACAGTTGCAGTTAACACTTTTCAACCAGGGACACCTAAATATTGGGCAAGAATTTATTGTCAGGTCATGATTTATTTAAAGTTAAACTATATCATTATTCAGTGATGAGTGATGAACAACTGAAGAATTACCTATACTGAATGATGACATGTTGAGCCCGGAACTGTTGACAGGAAGCAGCTACTAGAGGGGGTAAGGATTTATTTATAAATGGATTTAGTTTACTATTGACATTCACTAATAAGTTTGTGAGATTTAATTAGCTCTGAACTTACTGGAAAATTTCTCAACGAGTTAAGACTTGTAATAACACGGTAATTATCATTATCATTATCAGAGTGGTAGTCTCTAACAATACAATGATTATCAGATCATTTTTATTAATTATTCTTTTGTTTCTTACTCAACTATACATTTACTAATCCTTAGATGCTGTGAACGTGCAAACTACTTCCAGTTTTGTCCACTGTGCAAATCATGTTAATTTGACCATTAAGACTAAATTGTCATACAAAGTCATTCTATGAGTACACATACCTATCTTTGAAAAATGCTTTGGCTTTATATTATGTTGTCATTCAGGTTCAGAACTGAAAAACTACTTCATCCTCAAGGCTCCAGAAATATGGTGCAGACCTACATTTTTCTTCACTGTTCAAGCTGCTGGTCATGGGTAGATATAAAAACAATACACTGTGAAAATGTGAAAAAATATTATTTTGGATAAAAAAGGGACTAAGTTGAAATGAAATATAAATAAATGCACAATTTGAGGCCTGAATCAAGTCCTTCGAAATCATCCTTATTTAATAAAACAGCAGACAATGAAGAATAATCATTAATATGACACTACTATATTTTGGACATGTGGAAATAGAAATATTCCATTTATATTTCATTATCTCTCTTGGTTAATAAAAGTAGGTTGAAAGTCACTCATTAATGAATAATCAACTTACAATGGATTCTTTATCTTTACTGTCTTTGTGTATTAACTGTAAACATAAAATGGCTATTTTTAAAGTGTTACAGCATTCAGTTGATTAACTTGTTCCATTCTACCTGTGCTGACCTCTTCTTTTAGGTTTGTGTTGAAATGTGAGGTCAGTTATTGGGGTATAGATGAGATTTTCATGGTGGCACTGTTGAAAATTTCCTTAACTTTTATGTTGTCACGTTATTCAGCATGATCATCATGTGTACCATTTTGACCAACTGTATATTCATGACATTTAGTGACCCCCCAGAATGGTCCAAACAAGTAGAGTAAGTACACATCCAGACTTTCTTATTACATGAATTCCCTTACCGATACCTACCCCTATCTTTAATATCTGCTCTTTTTCTTCAAAGGTATACCTTCACGGGTATCTATACATTTGAGTCACTCACAAAGATTGTTGCCCGAGGTTTTGCTATCGATGGCTTCACCTTTCTCAGAGACCCATGGAACTGGCTGGACTTCATGGTCATTTCAATGGCGTAAGTACAGAGATGAAATATTATTCATTGTAGAAATAATGAACATTGACAACTTTTACTAGATAAGACTGTGGTTAGAATAACTGAGAAACCATCAATGTTTTCAACACTATAAGCAAGCAGATCGAAGTAGTTCCCTTTAATAATTTGATGAGGTTTATATTAGCCACTCTTGTTACAAAAAACAGTCAGGGGGATTGAAAAATAGACAACAAAGAGCTCTGAGAAGAGCTCATATTGAGGTCCTGATGTGTACTGGCTCACTTTTATAGCCTCTGATACACATCGGCAGAGCAGTGACATCATTATTAGCAACTCCTGTAACTTATATAACATTGAGTGGCATCTTTATTCAGAATGAAAAAGAACCAAAAAACATTAGCATTTCACATGGTATGATGAACGTATGCTGTCTTTTAAAACATGGGTATCGTTACACATGCACGGAAGGTGTCATTTTATCAACACAAAAACAAGTCTTTCAACCATTGGGTTCCTTTTGAGAAGCTGAAATAGGTTTCCGATGATATTATATTAGTAATATATCTCCAGTGGACGAGTGAGAAAAAAAAAGCAGTGGAATTTTAGTCTGCGTAAAAACACACTGTGTAAGCTTCACCTTACATGTGTTTTTCTACTTTGTGAGGATACAACCACCTAATGCTAATGTTTAGTACATTTTGGATATCTAAATGTTAAACTATATTGATCATTTGTAACTGAAAGATACTAACCATGGTCACTTTTCCCATGATTTGGCTTAATAAGACTTTTGTTATTTGGAGCAGTCACTGCAGAGCCCCCAGCCCACATCAGGCCTTAGCACCGTGTTAATAATGCTTAATAAGATATTCTGTGACAACATTTTCTTCCCCTTATAGGGATGACTGCTGAGTAATTGTATCTGATCCACATTGCAGGTATATAACAGAGTTTGTAAACCTAGGCAATGTGTCAGCTCTGCGTACGTTCAGGGTTCTGAGGGCTTTGAAAACAATTTCAGTTATCCCAGGTAAGATAGGTGTTTGTGTTTGCGGGCGGGCGATCCACTGGGGTTGATGTTAGGTGTGGTTTTGTTTCAGTCCCTCTCCTCTCCTCCTCCACCTTCGTCTTCTTCTCACTGGTCGGACAGGTGTTCTCTTCCCCGCCGTGGTGTCCCCTCCTGGTTTTCGGTGGTGGTGCTGGTGTCGTGCTCTTGCTCAAACATGCGCGCGTGTGTGTTGTTGTAGTGTGTGTTGTGTGTCATGGGGTTCTGTTTTGTGTGTCATCCTACCTCGTTACAGATATATAACAGAGTTTGTGGACCTTGGAAATGTCTCGGCGCTGAGAACGTTCAGGGTTCTCCGAGCATTAAAAACAATTTCTGTCATTCCAGGTGAGACTCCCATTTAAACACTAAGGCTGAGCTTATAATTATTGTAAGCTTTCTTTATGCCTTTGAGTTAATTTATCTTGTTTTAATAAACAGGATGTTTTCCTCATTTATTTAGTGTCATGACAATCAAAAATGGTAGTAATACATTTTTGATAGGCTTAGCAGTCTACTGGCAGCTCTCTGATCACATGCACTGTGTTCACAGCAGGAATGTGATGGCAGGTTAAAGAGAACAACATCTTTCTCTGGATGCATTTCTACCAGGAGTGTAACAATTGATACCCTAAACATGAGATAACATAGAAGAGGAGTTTAAGGTTGATCATTTCCAGCACAACAAAAGGTCTTAAAACCAAACTATTCAGAAATGAATGGGAACTATCTATCGTATTATTGTACAAAAAAAATGTCTTCATACCCAATTCTAGTCACTGCTGCTTGCTGCCTTTGAAAAACAAATAGTACGACTGCCAAGCCTAATGTAATGATACCTGCATGAAGCTTTGAGACACGTCTGGCTTTAAGAGTCTTTTCCTTTTTTTAGTCCTCAAATTTAGTAGATATTTGTTTCTATTTCCTTACTTTTGGCTCCTTTTTTGAAGATTTATTTCTACCTTGGGTTTAAAAAAGAAAGATATTAATAAATTAATAGAAGAAAAGTTAAGCGGACCCTTTAAGCAGTTCAGTTGGATATTTATTTCACCAGAAAGGCTAGAACCATATGTCTTGATTTTGAAGTTGTTGATTTATTTCAGTATAAAAAGTTGAGACCATTATGAGCCATAAGCTTCACAATGAGTCCTAATTCATTTTTCTTGTTTCATAGAAGTAAAAAGAAAAAAAAATAGACAGTTTAGGTATGTAGGAGAACCCAAATAACTTATTTGAGAGGAGACATGCTAGAATTATGAATTTTAAATAAAATATCATTGTCTGTACTTCAGTTTAGGATGTTGTTTATCTTTCACAAATACTTAATCAGGCTGAAAAATCCAACCCTGTCAAGATCAGGAAAGGAGCACACTGTGGACTAAAATTCATACTTTCACATGACAAACCACTGTGAAGCATAGATCTTACCAGTGAGCACAGTAGTTACTGACTGGTGCATCAATGTTTGGCAAAAATACACACAGAAAATAATGTCATTATAGAAACTCATATTTATAAAAACATATATATACATGTGTGTATGTGTGTACGTATATGTGTACTGTTTATACAGAGGTACATTGCCTTCTGTGCCGTCCAGAGTGTCCACCTTCCAACACACAGCGCTCAGTTGCCCAGTGGCTTTGACCATCCCCAGGGCTCAGGCAGCACAGTGATAGTAGGGCAAAGGGCCGCATGGGCTTGGAACTGTTCTTTTTCAATTAAAGCAAGGTCATCATCACGGTTTAGACGGGTGATGCTGACAAAGTCGTTTCCTTCAGCCTTGGCGTTTAAATGAACTGCATGCAACCTCTCATTGACCCTGAACTCCACCCCCACAGGCCCCAAATCTCACTCGCCTGTCTTCTCTTTCTCCTCTTCATTCCCTGCTTCCCTGACTAAGCCTGGCTCTGTGCACTGTTTGCTGTTTGTGGTGCTGCTGTATTAGTTGATTTGTTGGATGCAGTATAATTACCAGCAGAGGTTAGCCGGGGATGTTTCCATAGATCTACTCTAGAAGAGTTGAAGGGAATCCAGGATTCAGTTACTTCTCTCCAGACACATCCTAAATTGATCTGTCAGGAGAGCAGTTCTCCTTGACAGGAAAGTGTTTTATTTCACATGTATGTCCTTTTGCACATACATGAACAGTTTGTTAGTTTTTAATGTAAAAGTAAAAATGTCTCTCTCTTATGGAAACATCCCACTGGCTTTACTATTAAAATTGTGTCAGATTTCTATATCTGTGACTCACCTTAATCCATTATTTCAAAAACATAATATTTACCAAGTTACGTTACATAGTTTGGTTTAAATGACTGTTTAACAAATGTCATAGCTACAGTAAAATTGGAAGTTGTAAAGTTTCTGCAGCCTTCAGCTGCTGTACATGTGGGCAGGTGGATGAACTTGATCAGGTCTGACTGTCAATTGTCTGGTGAAATTCACAATCTACCTACCAACAATCAAAGCATTCAGATTCAAATAACCACATTTGGAAAATACTAAATGGCTTGAAGACATTCTCCTGTTCAATGATTAAATCAAATGCTGTGCTTTCTGTTGTTGTACTTTGCTTATCAGGGCAATACTCGTTTGATACTCGTTTTAACAGTGACAGAAAATAATGCGAATGAAACTGATTGATGTAGTAGGATTATGACAGCCACAGGTTTACCATGGAAAAATAGGCAGAGCCTGTTCTACACAAAGACGTGAAGAAAAAGGACAGTTTGTCCTTCAGTCTATTGCCTGTTTACGCTTAAGCCTTTTTTTTATTTTTTTATTTTTTTTTTACCAATATGCAGTTCTCTTAATTACTTGTTGGTCATGCAGTGATATAATTGTCTGCATTTTCATTGTTCGTGTTTGGATTTCTAAGAATTCCAGTTTCTACACTAGATATCTTTCACACCTAAAGTTTGTGCACGTTCCTTCCCTCAACTTTCCTTGATATGCTCTGCTGTAATGATAGAAGTGTGCTATGTTCAATGTAAGCATTGGCATGGTTAACATCAAAACAATTATGTGATAAACTCATGTAAGATATAAGTCAGGTTTATGTCCATTGAGGCATAAAACTAATCAGGAAGAACAATGAGAGGTACATTTGTTGTGTACTGACATCAATTCTGTACAATTCCTTACTATAGTAACTTGCTTTTGCAAATTCTAATCTGCTGTATTTCTATTGAAAATATATAATGTGTCCTTAAAAAGAAAAGCGGCCTATTTTCCATCAGGGAAATAAGCAACATTATGTTTTTCTTTTTTCTGTAATGAAAGATACTTAATAGCCACAACATAGCAAGTACCTATCTGAATCCTTAACTAAAAGTTAGTGTTGAAACCTTTTGTCAATGCGAAAATTTAAAGATAATTTCTGACAAGCACTGTCAACACAAAAGAAAACTCAGTGTTTGATATATGATGTCACTCTGATCGTTGTCAAGTTTCAATAGACGTAAGAGATTGCACAGAGCTGAGTTAAATCAAAGATTAAACACACAAAACCAAATTTGAAATTTTTCCAAGTGTAATGGAGTGAGTTCTGTAGTTCACACATCCAAGTAAAACCTGCTCTTACACAGGCAAAAAGATACCAGACCTTTTATTTGTGTTTTTCTCTCTGTGTGTGTGTGTGTGTGTGTGTGTGTGTGTGTGTGCGTAAATGTGTATGCTGGTGTGCACGTGTATGTGAGTGTGTTTGTTTCCATGTTTGGGCATTCATGCACATTTGTATGAATGCGTGTGTGTGTCTGTGTGTGTTCTCATTGACAGGCCTGAAGACCATTGTTGGTGCTCTGATCCAGTCTGTGAAGAAGCTGTCGGATGTGATGATCCTGACTGTCTTCTGTCTCAGTGTCTTTGCTCTGATCGGACTGCAGCTTTTCATGGGGAATCTGCGGAATAAATGTGTCATTTGGCCGATTAACATGACTGCACAGTACCTGGAAAATGGCACGAGGGGTTTTGACTGGGACAGATACATCATGAACGACTGTGAGTGAAACCTTTGGCATTTGGTTAATCTAATCGTATGTGTTGCTCTTTGGTCACTGACCTTCTATTTTGAGAAATGTCATATTTTTCCATATGTCTGTTTTGTCCTTCATAGCTAATTTCTACTTCCTCCCGGGTATGCTGGATGCTCTAATCTGTGGAAATAGTTCTGACTCAGGGTAAGTATATCAACAAATGCATGAATAGGAATGCCAAGTATTCAAGGCATGTCTTCTACACTTTTTCTGTTCAACATAAAAACTACATAAGTCTGCCAGGGCCTCTTTGATCATCCTTATCTGTTCATCATTTCATACAACTGTCCTTTGGAAAGTCGACGAAGGTGTTCTTCAAGTCATTCTAACATGCACTGAGCCCATTTATTCATAAGTAATATTCTCTTATCAGGACTCTCATCTTAAGGTTTTACTTACTACCCTCTATTATATATAAGTTGTCAATCAAAGCACCAAAATTCTTTATAAAGCTCCCTTCAATCACATAATCTCTGTTAGTTTTAATTCAATAGACTTCCAAAACTGTGAAAGTGGTGAAGTAAAATCAGACATGTCAACCCACAGTCAATATCAAAGACTTGGAGATGTTTCTCTCTATTTAAATAATGTTTTAATTACTGCACGTCATTGCAATCCACACACATCAAAGGCAACATCGTAGCAATAAGTTCATCTCTATTTACACTTCAATTATCTGGTATATATATAGAAAAGTTAAGAGCAAACTACATATTAGAGTTTTGTGTTATCTGCTGTTTATATGAAACAGTTATTATCAAGAGTGCATCATCACCCTAAGGGGACTGCATCACAAATAATGTGCTAATGATTAATCAGTGAAATCTTTAGGCCTAAATACAGGCTCAGCCATGACACAAAGTCAGAGAATTAGTAAATCTTGACAAGGTCATCAAATATTAGATAGGTATTGTCAATATCATGTTCCTACAAGTATACATAAAGCCATTCATCCTGAAGGAAACAAACAAATTATCTCTTTCATGGTTATATTCATAGTTTAGTGTTTGTGTGCATAATGTCAGACCAGTGATGTGTATGATTCCAATTGTGTTCAGTTTCTACTAGAATACTAAGACAGTTGTTGTCTTTCTGTGTTCTTCCAGACGATGTCCAGAGGGTTTTACATGCATGAAAGCTGGAAGGAACCCCAACTATGGTTACACCAGCTTTGACAGTTTTGGATGGGCCTTCCTTACCCTCTTTCGACTCATGACACAAGACTTCTGGGAGAATCTCTACATGCTGGTAAAGCAGTCTTTTCCCTGGTTAACATTTCTCCCCTGCTTATCTAATTGATTTATATACAACCAGTGGGTTCAATAATGAGGACTGCTGACTGTAATATAGCCTGTAAAGAAACTGTGATCTTCTGTAAACCCATAGTATATTGCTATATAAAAGCTTCTCCAGTCCTCTGCAACCGCTTATGCTAGAAGTAGTGCTAATAATTCATCAGCTTTGTACCTGAATGAATCAGCAAAAGGGCTGCTCAGCTGCAGCCCCTCAGTTCCTTTGCCCTCTGGATAAAAGGGAGGAAGGACAGCTGATCAGAAAGGCAGTGGCTTGGATTGTGCGATTTGGCAGCAAGATTTTTCATGTCTTTCACGCTGTGAAAATATCTTAAGAATCTCAGAATCCGTAAAGGTGGCTCCATGTGTCAGTTAAATAAAAAAGCTTTGGCAAATTAGCCTTGAGGCAGTCACCACTAAGCTTCCAATGCTCACCTTAGCCTTTGCCCGTTTTGCGACTCCTGTGATATTTGCAACAGTAAACGTCAATAAAATGACTATGCACTGGCTCGTGTGTTCGTGATTGTCTCTATGGTGGCCTCCGAGGAGAAAGCTTTCGATTGAATGTAGAACCACCAGAAATGCTGACACCGCATACAAGCAGTACCTCTTACAACATGGGAAAGTTACCTCTATACCTCTAACCAGCAGTGTTCTAAGACGCTTTTCATCCGTGTATAATCTGCCAAACACTGTTAAATAAAGAATTTTTTTTTACATGTCAGATATCTGATACCTTATAATTTTTTTTAATTTTTTATCACAGACTCTGCGAGCCGCAGGGAAAACCTACATGGTTTTCTTTGTGCTGGTCATCTTTGTGGGATCCTTCTACCTGGTGAATCTCATCTTGGCTGTGGTGGCCATGGCTTATGAGGAGCAGAACCAGGCCACAATGGAGGAGGCGGAGCAAAAAGAGGCAGAATTCAAGGCTATGCTAGAACAGCTCAAAAGGCAACAAGAGGAGACCCAGGTCAGTCTCAGTCTTTCCCTCATGCTTAAGAAACTCTCCCTCATGTCCCTTACTTATCGTGGCATTTTCTTCCTTTCCCAGGCTGCTGCCATGGCAACATCAGCAGCTTCAGTGTCAGAGGCTGCATTAGAGGATGAAGGAGGGGGGCACTTGTCTCGCAGCTCCTCTGAAGTCTCCAAGCTGAGCTCCAAGAGTGCCAAAGAGCGCCGAAATCGCAAGAAGAAATGGCGCCAAAAAGAGCAGGAGAAGGAGAAAGGTGACAGTGAGAAGGTAGTGAAGTCTGAGTCAGACGATGGTAGCAAGAGAAGCACCATTCGTTTCCCAGGAAGTCGACTGGGAAGAAAGACATCCATCATGAACCAGGTACAGTTGCTCAGAGAAAACTAGAGATCTTTTTGTATCAGCTGTTACAAGAAGATGATTTTTTTTAGATTTCATCAATATTTAGTTGCGGAAATAAGGGCCTGTCGCACACATCATGGTATCAGTCCAGAGAGACTCTGATGTCTTGCACCAGTCTTGCGATTGTTTGAACAGATCTGCTCACATACTGCCTGGACATAGCATTCAGGTTGGGTTGCCTAGCATCAATGCCTTCAATGAATAGTCAGCTTTCCAATGTACAGAAGCAACAGTTACCTTGAGACCTTTTTTGCCATGTCAGACAGGGTGCTGACTGTGCTCTTTGTTCCAGCTAGAGAGCAGGTTTTCTTTTGAGATGCCTTGCGCAGCACTCTCCTCACTAACTAGTCTGTTGTGGAATGTTACTCCCATATATTTCATCTATATGGACTTCTCTTGTGGGTTTTAGCGCTAACAAGGCAATTTATTACTTAGTCCCCTCAGCATCATGTTTGATATGCAATGCTGATGTCTAATTCTGGTTTCAGCTGGGTATATTTGCTCTTTATCAGATAAACGGGTTGTTTTGAATGATAAGGATTGGATGAGAGGATCTCATTAGGTCTCTGAAGCCAAACAGTTGGACCAAACTGGGTTTCTGAGAGGTGCTTGGCCGGCTTATCTCATGTATTCAAACGAAGCCTGAAAAAAATAAAAAATAAAAAGATAAAAAATAAAATAAAATATCCCATTTGGTGACATGATACTGATGACAAAGACAGGAACCCCACTTTTGATGCCAGTGAAGCTTGTATGGAGACAAATTCATTTTAGCGTCTCGGCTGGAAAGACTCAGTTTGTTTATTTCTGTGGAATATCATTGCTCTCTTGAGACTGCATACAGTAAGAAAACAAAAAAAACAACCCAAATCTAGTGTTGGGTTTACTCTTTGTTTTTATCTATGTGCTCTATTTCTGGGTACATTTGTCACACCCCTTCATCTTATCATCTGTCATGACTCCTAATAAACCCTTTGTTCTCCTTCTCCTCATGTACTTCTACTTCTTCAGTCCCTGCTCAGCATCCCTGGCTCACCCTTCATGTCGCGCCACAACAGCCGCAGCAGCATCTTCAGCTTCAAAGGCCGCTCCAAGGACATGGGCTCAGAGAACGAGTTTGCAGACGATGAGCACAGTACAGTGGAGGAGAGCGAAGACCGCCGGGGCTCCCTTTTCATACCTTACCGTCGCAACAGCTACAGCGGCTACAGTCAAGGTTCATCCCGGATTCATCCATTGGCACCCCACTCTGGAGGGAAGAGGAACAGCACAGTGGACTGCAACGGCGTAGTGTCTCTCATCGGCCCGGGGCCCGGCAGACGGCTTCTGCCTGAGGTGAAAATAGATAAGGCAGCCACTGATGACAGTGTAAGGACGTCCATGGGACACCAATACAGTTTAGGCATGATGGTGGTGGTGGTGGCCCTGGTCTCTGCTGCTCCTCCTTTACAGCCTCTTCCCCTTGGCTCTTGTCCCTATTTTCCCTGAACTCAGTCACTCTCTTTTCCTTCTCTAAATATTTAGATTCAGTTTGAATAATTCACCTCACACTGCTACATACACATCTAACAACCTAAAGATCCTTTTCCATCTCTTATTGTTAATCTTTCAAAGCTCTGCTTACAAGAAGAGAAATACCCACAAAGTAACCTGTGTAAACTTATTTATATCTTTACTGATTTGGGTCATTTTTTAATTTCTTAGTTTACAGTAAAAAAACAAAGCCACTTTACTTTCCCATCACCCAAAAGGACTTCTGTTTTGTATTCCATTTTCATGTACTCATATCTATTTCTGTCTACATCTTTCTTTCATTTCCACTCTGTTTCTGCTGCTGTATTTCTCTTTCCTGTCTTATACTTCCTGCTCTTAACCCTGGATGGTGCTACAACAAAGCTGGAACCTTTTTTTTCTATAACTGAATTTCTCATAATTCTATCTAGCATGGTAGACCTCTCTTTTATTGTCAACCAGTTGATATGCTTTTTTCCTTTTTGCCTCTCCCTAAAATAGCATGGTGTAGCAGCAGTTGTTGCCTCAAATTTCCCTCTGTTGACATGACATGCATGCTTCTGCATGCAGTTTAACAGTGTTTAAGGATGGTTATCCTCAGTACATGTTGAAGGGATTAGAAAATGTACAGTGAATTCTCAAATAATGCCGCAGTTGATTTTAAAGGGCTCCTTATGAATATGGACATGTTTTATAATATTCTTTTCCATACAAAGACTTAGTTCTCTATTCTTTTAAAGTAAGGCACTATATGAGAATTTACTGTATGAATGTCAATAATGCTACACAATATATTTTAGGACATGTTTATATAGAGCAAATTGGGTTATCCTCAGAAAGTATTTTCAATAAATTGCAGATTTGAACCAAAAAAATGTGTAAGCCATTTAAGCTGTCTTCCAGGCAGAAGTGAGCCACTTTCATGGTTTTAAAAAGCACTAAAGCGTTAGTTTCAAAGTGCATGTTAGTGTTCTGGTATCTCTGAGTGACATCACATCTTTTTTTGAGCTCAGACTACAGATGTGGAGATTAAGAAGAAACACTCTGGCTCTCTCATGGTATCTGTGGATCAGCTCAACTCCTCTTTCAAAGGAAAGGATCGTGCCAACAGTCAGATGAGTGTGGTCACTAACACACTGCTAGAAGGTATGCGTGGTACATTAGTTTCCCCTTGTTGTTGTGAAAATGGTTCAATCTTTGCTGTTGAATTTTCGATATAGAGTTTATTTTTGAAGAGCGCATTAGACATAAATGCTGGCCCAATTTAGGGCCAGTCCTATCTTTTTAAATGTGGATTTAATTTACAAATAGCTTAAAAGAGTTAGATTCTCTTAACAGTTTTTTCTCCATCATCTCTTCCTGCAGAGTTGGAAGAGTCTCAGAGAAAGTGTCCTCCCTGCTGGTACAAGTTTGCTAACACGTTCCTAATCTGGGAGTGTTTCCCCATGTGGCTAAAGATCAAGCATATAGTCTACTTGATTGTCATGGACCCATTTGTTGACCTGGCCATCACCATCTGTATTGTGCTCAACACCCTTTTCATGGCTATGGAGCACTACCCCATGACTGAGCAGTTTGAGGGTGTCCTGGCTGTTGGCAACCTGGTGAGAGAGTGTTTTTTTATTCTTTTTATATTAATTATTAATTAATTATTTTGCCTTTCATGCTCTGCTGCTTTTTACTTTTAAATTCTGTGTTCCTGCATGGACCCTCCACCCCCGAGAGTTCGAGAGACCCAGAAGCATTACAGATTATGCCAACGTAACCTTAAAACTATTCATCAATGCATCACTTAATATGTGCACTTAAGAGCGCACACACTGACCATATACAGTCATCCGGAGGGGTCTCATTAAAGATTTAGTTTCATTTTTATGTGGCCATCTAGCCAGCTCCCCAGTCTCTTAGCCACTTAGATTACTCAGTCTTTCTCTATTGGATGCTGATCTCCAAACTTGTGCTTACCGATTGTTTATTGACTACCGTACTTAACTTACAGTATAGGTATACCTCCATAATCTCGTCTGTGGAAGACATTTTGATTTGTCTGTGTTCTGCCCTTGCTTTCTAATATCATTGTAGCACAGCTGTCTGAGTGCAGCTGCGGTATTGGCTCGGTGTCAGCACTAAGACAGGAAATGAGGTCATTGGCATTGGCTCAGCATCCAGAGTAAAACAGGAATTGAACTCACTCTGTGTAGAATGTTGGATGCTGCAGTGTGAATCACTGGGTGTACTCTGCAGCACTGACTGAACACACGATTAGCTGCTGGGTTAATGACAAGGAAAAGGCCCTGAATGTCACGCCTTTTGGCCAATTCTGATTAATTTGGCAACAAATTACCTTTTGACACTACTCTGTCCTCATTCTTAAGACATTTAAAAAAAAAGGTTTTAACAAGTCCTGCAATTAACAAATTACAATACAAGAATCTGGTTTGTTGCGATTGCAACAATTTAGGAAAATGTTTTCCAGCGTAAACTTTCCATTTATCATCATCCACAATCCTGATGTCAACTTTCAATGAATGTGGAGAAATCTCAGCGCACAAGATAAAATGTTTTATCAGTTACATGCACAAGAAATGGATAGTTTTTACATCTTTGATAACACCAGTCAACGGGAAAAAGAGCATTTCTGCCATTTCAAAGGACTTGCTTGTGTCAGCAAGACAACACCAAACCATATTATTACATTATTAACATTAACATTATTACTCTGTAGTTATAAATTCCATATCTGCTGTCTGGGGCTGTATCACCAAGATAATTTTGCATATTACTTAAAGACAAATATGACTGACTATGCTCCAATGTGTTAAGTACCTTGAGATTATTTTGGGGGGGATTTGGCAGTATTAAAATAAAACAAAAATGTATTCTTATTGAATTTCCAGTATTTGATGTTGTAGTTTAAAAGTTTAGAGTGGCTTCAGTCTGCACCCATTTTAATTTTTGTTTTATTCTGCGGGAATCTGTAGGTTTTCACCGGAATCTTTGCTGGTGAGATGTTTGCCAAGTTGATTGCAATGGATCCCTATTACTATTTCCAAGAGGGATGGAACTGCTTCGATGGCTTCATTGTGACCCTGAGTTTGGTTGAGCTGGGTCTGGCTGATGTGGAGGGTCTTTCAGTTCTCAGGTCTTTCCGATTGGTGAGTGGAAAAGAAAAATGTGCTGGCATATTATTCATATGACACGAAAGTGTCGGATATAATCCCATTTCTTTCACCAAGTTTAGCTGAATTCAAACCTCAACTGAGCCTCTGTAAGTAATATACTAAACTTAATGATTAAAAAATGGGTTTCTTTTGTTTTTCTTACAGTTAAGAGTGTTTAAACTGGCCAAATCATGGCCCACACTCAACATGCTGATCAAGATCATCGGCAACTCAGTAGGAGCTCTGGGTAACTTAACCCTGGTGTTGGCCATCATTGTCTTTATCTTTGCCGTGGTGGGCATGCAGCTGTTTGGGAAAAGCTACAAGGATTGCGTATGTAAGATCGCCCCAGACTGTGAGCTGCCACGCTGGCACATGCACGACTTCTTCCACTCCTTCCTGATTGTGTTCCGAGTCTTGTGTGGAGAGTGGATTGAGACCATGTGGGACTGTATGGAAGTGGCGGGGCAGGGCATGTGCCTGATCGTCTTCATGATGGTCATGGTTATTGGAAACCTTGTGGTAAGAAATGACAAGTATTACATACTGTACAAGCTGCAAAGGTACAATAGCTTGGATGTATCATAATTGCAAAGGTTCCAAGTTTTTTTGGTGCTTTTTTCCTGAGGTGCTGAACTTGTTCCTGGCCCTGCTGCTGAGCTCATTCAGTGCAGACAACCTTGCTGCCACGGATGATGACGGTGAGCCCAACAACCTCCAGCTTGCCGTTGCGCGCATTAAAACAGGGATTGCTTGGTTTAAAGTCAACTCTCGGATCTTTATTGCCACGGTGCTCAAAAAGGTACCTCACACCGAAACACATAAAAATTAGCGACTCATGCGTGTTTAACCTGGCTGTTGTCAGATGAACGTGTCTCTGTCAGAGACCTCTTTGACATCATTTATGTTTTTGTTCATCCTTTCTTGCCACTTTGACAAGCAGCCAATAGAGGACGAACAAAAGCCTCTGGATGAAATGTATGAGAAGAAGCTCAACTGCATTGCAAACCACACAGTGGACATCAACCGTGAGCTGGACTATCCTAAAAATGGCAACGGCACCACCAGTGGCATTGGAAGCAGTGTGGGAAAGTACATGATTGATGAGGACTACATGTCCTTCATCCACAACCCCAATCTCACCGTGTGCGTTCCTATTGCTGTTGGCGAGTCAGACTTTGAAAACCTTAATACGGAAGACTTCAGCAGTGAATCGGATGTGGAAAACAGTAAAGATGTGAGTAGAATTAACAGTTAGAGTGGCAACAGTGCTTTTCTTTTTTTATTGTTTGCACGAAGTGTAGATTTCCAGAAAGAAACAATATTTTGCTTTTACCTTTAATGCCAGCAGATCATTCTGGTTCCCGACAAAGCCGTGATAGTTTTATTTTTTGATAACTCAATCACAAATGTTATTTTCAGTACTAGGATTATAAGCTTTTATTCTAGTTGGTCTAAGCTGCCATCTTAATACCATTTAGTTGAGTTTATTTTAGAACGCCTCGTTAGAGGACTGCACACTGACCCTGATTGCTGAGCATGCAGACCAAAACAGCAGGCAGTCACAGACAAGTATGATGAAAGTCAGAGGGAGAACCTAAGTCTATCGTTTATTATGAATAAAATAGAAGGACAAGGTAGACCCAGAGCCTGTCGAAACATATTAAACATAGGTCACCTTGACCTGGTTTGTGGTAGGAAGACAGGAGATAAAACAGCATCACTTCTGTATCTGCACCAGGTTCAGATCCCATAGCAGTTCCTCAACCAACCACACAGCTACATTCTCTGCACCACATCCACCCATAGGGCACACCTCAGAAGAGAGAACACACAGTGAGCTACTCACAGCTGATATAAAAGGAGACATCCAACCGTCTGTTTCATTGAAGAGAGAGTGTATGCTGCCATTTTTAATGGTTACATTTAAATTATGGTATATCATTTTTGGGTGAACTTATGTGGGTATACCTTACCAGAATTAGGCTTCTAATAAGCTGTTTTTCCTGGCATCAGCATGGCTTGAAATATGATGTTTTATTTTTTAAGATGAGCTTTACTAATCTGTAATTTTCAGATTTAACGGGCAAGAGGTTCTTGCTTCTTGCAACTTATTGTAGTACTCTTGGAAATAAGTTATAGATGTTTCCAATGTAAAATCAGGCACTTGACATAAATAACTTTCACATGAATGCTACGTAGTTTTTTTGGTTTAGCAGTGGTGAGGTGCTTTTGTGAAATCAATCAATCAATCAATCAAAAATATACTTCATTATGATACTTACTTAGTGTATAAACTTTATATATAAATATTAATACAATATATTTGATTAAATCAGCTGAATATTAAGTTAAAAGGCTGCTTAAAGTGTATTGTAGTAACCATCACCATTGTAAATGTCACAGACTAACTACAATTTAATTTTTACTTGCTTTCCTAAGTGGGTCTAAAATTACAAAAACAGTTCATTCAGTCATAGTAAAAAAAGAAATAAAAAAGAAGAGTCTATTTGATGATGCTTTTGGCCAAGCTTACTGAGAATTTCGTCCATCTATCTGTATGGAAAAGAGAAAAACAGCTATGCCACAACATGCCACAAAATATATACCACATGCAGTAAATGATGGCATTTAAAATCAAAGAAAAATTAAAGTAATTGCTGCTCTGGTCTGTGCAGCATATAAGCTGTGTGCGTCCAGAGTCAAATATCCAGAGAGAAATTCAGTGGCTGAACTGGTCTTTGTTGTCCTAGCTTGATGACACCAGTTCCTCAGAGGGCAGCACGATAGACATCAAGCCTGATGTGGAAGAGGTGGCTGTTGTTGAGGTTGTGGAGGAATACGTGGACCCCGATGCCTGCTGGACCGATGGTACGTGGAAAATAACATCTGACTTGGTCTTTAATACAGTATAGACTAAGAAGATATTCAACATATTTGATCCTGTACTGAGAGTTGTGTCTTTGCCGATTGTACCATCCATCTGCGTCATCGATATCAGCAGTTCTGATTTTATTTGTCACACAGAATGTATAGCCAAATACAAGTGCTGTGATGTTCCTATCACTCATGGATGGGGAAAGCACTGGTGGTTTCTGAGGAAGACGTGCTACCTGATTGTAGAACACAACTGGTTTGAAACACTCATCATCTTTATGATCCTGCTCAGCAGTGGAGCCCTGGTAAACACACGAGCAAACACAAGAGTGCATGTTTTCACATCTAACTGCAGTTATAAAAGTAATCTAAAGCTCATTATTCCAATAATGCTTATGTAAAAATAGGATTTAAAACAAATCCTACGTAGAAGAAGTGAGTACATGCGGGTGGCATTTATTTAGTGAGGATGAACACCATCTGAGAAAGAGGGAAGGGCCCAGCATTTCCTGCAGTTGTTTTGCAGCTGCTCTTGATATTACTGTGCTAATGGACAGCAAAGTGCTGTAATGCACCAACCTTTCAACAAGGAGAATCCAGCTTAGGCTAGCAGCTTTCTATAGGAAGAAGGACACTGGCCAAATGTAAACACTGGAGGCAGCTATAAGTTGTCATTCTCCCTCATCAACTTCTCCCATATCTCTACAGATTTGTCCAAAAACAAACAGGCGTATAAACCACATCATTTCAACACAAATCAGTGGGATTTAAGAGATCTAGAGTGATTGTATTTCTTTAAAATACACGTTGGTTGTTTGATATGGATTCAACCCATATCCATGCATTTTATGCAAATAAATAACTAATAGGGAGCTGTTTATCATGTTTTGATCACTGTCCTCTGTTTCATACCTCCTTGCTATTCAGGCCTTTGAGGATGTTTACATTGAACAGAGGAAGACTGTCCGCATCATTCTGGAATATGCTGATCGGGTTTTCACTTATATCTTCATCCTGGAGATGTTGCTGAAATGGGTGGCTTATGGCTTTGTCAAGTACTTCACTAATGCTTGGTGCTGGTTAGACTTCTTCATTGTGGATGTAAGTATACTTTATTCTTCTGATAAGATAAAGGTATCTTGTTTCAAGATAAAAATGTCACTAACATTTCACTTATGGAAGAAAACAACCATTCTTTAGATAAAATATCAACTTTGGTTTATTTAGTACTTGTCTTCATACAGATATTTCTCAGTCAGTTTCAATCTTCTCCAGTGGAAGATCCAAAGTGTCCAACATAATGCAACATTTTTCATCACAAAATAATCAATGAAGAGACTTGATCAAAATTGGGGCACAGTTTTAACTCTACAGAGTAACTGATCCCTCCATGTATGGAGAAACATGAATGTATTGTTTTGTCAGTGTCCCTTTTTATTTTTTGCCAGTTTTGATCAAATCAGCCAAATCCAGTCTCAAATTCTCATCTTTTTCTTGAATTAAAATCTGGAGGACATTGCAGCTTTTGATAGATTCAAAACTGAGAAACATTTTCTTGTCAGATTTTTAATGGTAAATACATGTGAAGAAAGCTTCCTCACATTGCACCATGTCATGCCATGGCTTGCTGCAGGAAAATATGATGCTCCTGGACCAGCTACACATAAGCATCCCAAACACGGTTTATATCTGTAACCTCTGTATATCTTCAAGCTCCTGCAGTTATTTTTCTGTACATCTCAAAAGAAATATCCTCTTTTGCCATCTGTGCATGATGTTTTTCTTGATTTTTATCTTGTGCCATTATTTGGAAAAATTATTTGAACACCTTTTAATGCAAGATGTGGTTATAGTAATAATATAGAGCAGCAGTGTCCAAAGTTGGTCCCTAAGGGCCACTGTCCTGCAGGTATGAGATGCTTCCCTATCATTAGCAGGCCTGTGCAGAGCCTAGCAATATAGAAAGCAAAAATAAGGCGTGTTAAAGCAGGGAAACATCTAATACCTGCTGAAAAGCACCCCACAAGGATCAGATTTGAAGGGACTGAACTGTGGTGTTTTCATCCAGTGATGAGGAAACTTATGGAAGAAATGCTGTAGTATTAGAGACTCCCTGTTCTGGAAAAAAAAAGAAAAAACTTTGGGGATTATAACATGTTTAACACACAGATTAGTGTTGTCTACCTTTGAATTAATGTTCAAGGGATGATTGGTTAAGCGTTGCTAATGATCATTAGAAATGTCTCAATTTTCTTGGTGAATGATGAATTTAGTTTAAAATTGTTTTGAAAAATTGCAAATTCCTCTTTGTACATTTCCTAAAATGTCTTTATTCTTTTCTCTTAAGATGAACCTCTCTGCCTGTATATGTCTGTTTGTTTGTCTGTTCAATCTTTTACTTGCCAATCTAATACCCTTAACAGCTGGTGGCTAATATCTTGATTTTATTATATATTTTTATTTACATACTTTCATAGTAGTGAGAAGTGCACCACCAGATGAGGCAGATAAGTCGAACAAAAAGATGCCCTAGCCGCTCATATTTGTACACTGTGTGCCCTCAATGAAATTTTTCTGGGAGTATGTACGTGGGAGTACAAAACCCTCATTTTGTGAGTGCTCTAACTCTTTGTTCTCATCTAAAAATACATGGTTTTTATACTGTCTTGTTCCTTGACCACTTGTTTGGCAAAGTTTTAACGGTGAGCTGCCAATCTTTGCTTGAAAATCATCAAAGAAACCATATGAAAAATTCACTAAGTGTGTTTTTTGGTGTATAGAAGTTGCCTTTTAGTTTTTCACCATAACATTGTACTTATTTACTTTTTAACCCAAAACTGTCACAGTGTCCATAACTGTCACACAAATTAAGTAAACAGCAACACAAAAACTAGTAATACCAATGTAATTTGTCTAACGGACATCTGTTCTTGTCTTTTACTAATGCCAAGATTCAGTCTCAGGGGATCATGACATGAAAAGGCGGCCAAAGGATATCCATGGATGTTCCTTACCATTTATAGCCATGTTTACAGCCTCACCTGATAAAGATTATATGCATAAACTCATGTAATCCTAAAACACACAAGGATTTAATCTATCTGAACTGTTGACATCCACAGATTCCATATTTCTCACTGGATTCAACAGTGGAATGTGTCAAGCTGAGGAACAGAACAAATAGCCACTGACAAGTGTGTGTATAAATGTGTCACATAACCATGCATGTCTGAGTTTAAACGATAAGATTTGTAAAGAATATTACTTCAGTTTTTTTGGCAGGAAGATTACAAGTTAATGTTGATATTTAGATATATTTAACTAACCTAATTTTATTGTTCAGGTTTGGTATTTATTTGTCCATCAATTGAATATAATGGTACCTGATTTCATGGTGGTGTCATTATAAAGGTTTATTTCCAAAAAACTGTATTTAACCAAAGAAAATGGTACTAATATTCCACACAACAAAAAATACAACAGCACATGATGTGGATCAACAGAAGCAACAAATCCTAACTTGGATAAATCTTTTCCTTAATTGATTTTTTAACTTAACCTCAAATATGAATATATGTGACATCTGTTGTTATACATCTGATCTCCTTTTATGTCATTTTAAGTTTATATGTACACCTTGATAAGTAACACGAAGGGTGTCCTTGCTTTTAAAAATTACTATAAGTGTCCCCGTAAACACAATGAATCACTGGACCGCCTTAATAATTAATACAGTGCTAAATATAGCCTGTCCTCTGTAAACTTGATGCAACTAGATAAACAACAATCAGCATGGCCTAATTTCTGTGATCCTTCTGTCAGTTGAAAACAGTCCTTTTCACCAAACTAAAAAACAAAGCAAATTTTTTTTTAAAGCTGGTTGAATTGGAACAGAATAATATATGATTCACATTCACAATCTCCCCCTAAAACAGAAATGGAGACAGTATCAGACTGTCCCCTTTATAGTAAGTCTACTTTCTACATGAAAGTAGGTAGAAAGGCTGGGGGAAAAAACAAACATATTCTCCAACAAACATGTTGCTGATTCTTCAGCATGAACCCTCAGATAAAAGTACATTTTAGTTACATGTGCAGATAACTTCATCTTCTACCCTACTGACCTGTCCTCTCTCTTACAGCAGGTGCCTATAAATGTGTCTCTCCTTAAGTTAAGAGAGACATTGTGCAGCTGTCCAGAGGGACTGAGAGGTCGGTGTGTGGGGGTCCAGGGTAAGGTTTGTGTGTTGTGTTGGGGCTCCTACTTTCACAGGTTATCCTCTCTTCTAACCCTGAAAGTTGTCCTCAACCTCCTGGGTTTTCTCTCCCTTCTTTAAGTAAAACGCCCTCTGGTGTGGAAATTGTACTGTTTTGTACTGTGTACTGTGTGTATACTATCGTGTCACATTGATTTAGTGTTTGTGAACACATCTCTCCTCTAATTTATCCCTTCGTTTGACTCTCGGCTCTTCCTCTCACTGTGTCAACCACAAGTTTCTTTCCAGGTGTGCTCACTGTGCTGTTAAGCTGGTTATCACCCTAGACTGGCTTGCCAAACTGAACCAAACACAAACACGAGCAAATACATTTCAAAAACAGGAAAAACCTTGCTTGCTCTTTACTGACCTCTGTATAATGTAATAACCTTGTTTAACCTTTATGTCTTAAAGATTTTTTACACACAAAACTTTTTTGTACATATCTATTTGTAATCACTTAGCAATCCTTACAATTGACACAGGGTCCGCCTTTCTTTCTATATCTCTCTAACTGTGTGGGCTCTCTCTTTCTTTGCTTCTGTCTTTCCATCTCCCTCTGTCCCTATCTGTGTAGGTGTCTATAGTCAGCCTTATAGCTAATGCTTTGGGCTACTCCGATCTAGGCCCGATTAAATCTCTCAGGACACTGAGGGCCTTGAGACCCCTCAGGGCCCTGTCACGTTTTGAAGGGATGAGGGTAAGACCTAAGACACCAGGCAGCTGGTCCTTTTGCATGCCAAGTAAACAAAAGCATTAACGCATGCTAGAGATGACAAGATAAAACAATTCTTTATTATATCTCTCTGAAGGCCTGAGGGGATTTTTTTCTAGTAACCCCTTAATCAGTGAGAAGCTTTTTGCATGGACACAGATCATCTCAGATGGTTGTAATGCATCTGATTTGATTTATCATATTTCATTTCATATATGATAAATTTAAAGCTATGTTAATCTATGAGCAATGACTTATCCATTAAAATATTACAGAAAATAAAAGGCTAACCCCCTTTCTATACCTGAATGATGCAGCACACTTCGATAAAAACTCAGCTTTCTTCAGCACCTGCTGAGAAACAACCAGAGGATGGTATGAAGTGTCACGCCAAAGTATTCCTTGAACTGTAGGACAGATTTATTATTGGCTGAAAGGCCATCCACTATCCATTTAAGTGTTCCTGAGACGCAGAGAGCCCCTGCTGTCACATGAAATCTGTGCACATGGTGACTAAAAAGCCTTGTTCACATCCATTATATTATGTACATAGGCTTTTTTGTGAGCTATTATAATGGATTCATCTTTGGAAGTATCACCTGAAAAAAACTTCTTCTGAGTGTCACTTAAACGTGTGATGGGTCAGATCAGCCTCTGGTTGTTGTTGGGCAGAAATAAAGACAAAAATCTTGGTTGTGTCTTGGCTCAGCATCCTCTGACTTTTGCTCTGCCTCTAGTGTCCTGTTATCTGATCCTGCCACAGTTTGGCTTTGGCATTGTCACACTGGAAGATCAACAAACTTCTGGTTGCATACCCCCCTCCCCTGCCATCCTTGCTCATCACTTCTCAGTGATTCTCATCACCATAATTTTTATGATCACTTTTTTGCAGTAACATTATCGTTTCACATAATTGCATTGTCTCTATTTAAGGCTATTAGATCAAATGCTAGGATATGAAAAAATTTTGACATTTGATGTTTGTCTACATGGTTTTGGTTTATTTGGCTTTCTGTTCTCATAGCACCTCTGTGTGTAGAAATGCACCGTAATCTTTTGTCCTCCCAATAGTTCTGTAAACGTTCATTTAAATTAATGCAAAATGCGTAATTAGTTTCATCTGAGGATTAGATGATGCCAATAAATGTACAAACATCTCAACCATGGCATGAATTTGATAACAAATGTACAGCCTCAAAAGAAAACCTGTATGTTAGTTGAAGCCAAAGGTGTTGTTAGCATAATTTGCTGGAGACCAATTTGAAAAAAACCCTCTTTTTAGATTTCTGAAGTGGGAATTAGTCACGGTTGACTAGTGTAATTTGTGTCCTGATCCTTATTGATACACTCCCTCGTAGTTATTCACGTTGAGCTTCAGCTTGTGTCTTTAAGTCAAATTACACAAGTTGAGTCTCAAGACCTGGAGAAAGATTGTGCATTTCTATGTAAGTGTGTGTTGATGTTCTCATATATGAACATCATCGTGTGGCAAGTGTGTGATTGCAAAGTTACACTTATGTTTCTTCACTCTTGTCCTCAGGTTGTGGTGAACGCTCTGGTGGGTGCAATTCCCTCCATTATGAATGTGCTGCTGGTGTGTCTCATCTTCTGGCTCATCTTCAGCATCATGGGCGTCAACTTGTTTGCTGGGAAGTATTATTATTGTTTCAACCAGACGGCTGAGGAGTACTTTCAACCAGATGAAGTGAACAACAAAACCGAGTGCTTTGCACTCATTAATCAAAATTACACCGAAGTCAGGTGGAAAAACGTCAAGATCAATTTTGACAATGTGGGTGCTGGATACCTGGCTCTCTTACAAGTGGTGAGATGTCTTCTTTGTAGAGAGAAATTTGTCTCACTCAGCTGATGTCAAGTGTATTCTCTAACATTGTGACTCCTCATCTTAAAGGCCACATTCAAAGGTTGGATGGACATCATGTATGCAGCAATTGATTCTAGAAGGGTGGGTTGTTTAAGATTTAATGTCTGAGAACTAACTTCAGATCATCATTTAGTAGGTATGTCAACATGTTTTTGTTTTGCCACTTTACAGGTGGAGGACCAGCCGCTCTATGAAGACAACCTGTACATGTACATCTATTTTGTCATATTCATCATCTTTGGCTCCTTCTTCACGTTAAACCTCTTCATTGGTGTCATCATCGATAACTTCAACCAACAAAAGAAAAAGATAAGATTTATTTTCCTAACATTCACCTCTTCAGAAAAGTAATTTTTCATATGTTTGAAAGGAATAGTTTGGCATTTTAACACACTTTTATAAGAAAGATGTTAAGCGGAGCACTCAAGCTTAACTTAGAGTATGGTTGAAATATATTAAAATAAGAAAAGAATAGCTTGTGTGTTTCCTATTATGTTATCCCTTCAATCTTGGAATCTGACTGATATGAACAAACACTGGTGGCTTGGTGTGTACTTTAGATAGTACTGGGATAAATTCTAAATTTTAGCAGATTGTAACTATACTTTTTTTTTGTCCCTTTACTTTGGAGGTCAGGATATTTTCATGACAGAAGAGCAAAAGAAATACTACAATGCCATGAAAAAACTAGGGTCAAAGAAACCACAAAAACCAATACCCAGGCCCCAGGTACTTGCCGCTGCTTTTACTACCACTTTACAGTTTTGCAGTTTTCAATTTCTCAAAGATGAAAAAATGACTAAATATAATCCATTCTTTCACTTTCTCCTCAGAACAAAATTCAAGGCATGGTGTTTGACTTTGTAACACAGCAGGTGTTTGACATCTCCATCATGATTCTCATCTGCCTCAATATGGTCACTATGATGGTGGAGACAGACGACCAGTCAGCGGACACAGAGATTGTTCTTTACTGGGTCAACTTTGTCTTCATTGTGGTCTTCACTGGAGAGTTTTTACTGAAGCTCTTTGCACTGCGTCACTATTACTTCACCAATGGCTGGAACATCTTTGATGTGGTGGTGGTCATCCTTTCAATTGTGGGCAAGTATTAAAAAAAAGTACATACATAACAGTACAGAAGAGCACATAAGTTATGAAGTTTTCTGAAAACTTCCGCAACTTTCTTCAGCTTTGGTTTATAGAAAATTATTTTGTGATTCTTTATTAATGACAAAAGCCATGCAATTTCCATCATCATGGAAATTTTCGTATAGAAAACAAATTGCATAAAGCTTTGAAAGAAAGATGTCTGCAAGATAAACGTGAATCCCATGGAATTATCAACTTTCTTCTGGAAGAATGAATGAACATTCTCACAGTAGGAAGTGTCAGACTCTTAATTTGATATAAAAAGCATTTACAAGCTTTGATGCTTGCCAAGAGGAAAGTTACTGAGTAATGACCATCCCTCAGTTCCTAGCCATTTTTCTTTTTTGTTATCGTACAACTGTTTTGGGAAATTAATTAAGATGTTATCTTGCTTAAAATATGTAAGGATTGTGTCCTCTGTAACTGGATGCCATTGAAGAAATCTCACTTTAAAGAACAGATATTCTGATCTTGAATGTTTAAGCTGAATTAGGTAAAGCTGTGGGCTACATGCTGGTTGCATTTCTTTCATCCTAACCAAGTATTTGTTGTGTCTTCTTGGCTCTTTTTTATTTCAGGAATGTTTCTGGCTGAACTGATTGAGAAATACTTTGTGTCGCCAACGCTATTCAGGGTGATTCGTCTGGCACGTATTGGCAGAATCCTGCGTCTCATCAAGGGCGCTAAAGGAATTAGAACTCTGCTGTTTGCCCTCATGATGTCACTTCCTGCCTTGTTCAACATCGGCCTCCTACTTTTCCTGGTTATGTTCATTTTCTCTATCTTTGGCATGTCTAACTTTGGCTATGTGAAATATGGGGCCGGAATCGATGACATGTATAATTTCGAGACTTTTGGGAACAGCATGATCATCCTGTTTATGATCACCACGTCAGCTGGCTGGGACGGCCTGCTTCTGCCCATCCTAAACTACCCTCCAGATTGTAACCCTATTTTGGAAAACCCTGGTACTCCCGCCACTGGAGACTGTGGTAACCCATCTGTGGGCATCTTCTTCTTTGTAATGTACATCATCATATCTTTCCTAATTGTGGTCAACATGTACATTGCCATCATCCTGGAGAATTTCAGTGTGGCCACTGAGGAAAGTGCGGACCCGCTCAGTGAGGATGACTTTGAGACCTTTTATGAAATTTGGGAGAAGTTTGACCCAGATGCCTCCCAGTTCATCACCTATTCCAAGCTTTCAGATTTTGCTGATGCACTTGAACACCCACTTCGTGTTCCTAAGCCTAACACTATTGAGCTGATTGCAATGGACATGCCAATGGTGAGTGGAGACCGCATCCACTGTCTGGACATCCTGTTTGCCTTCACCAAGCGTGTGCTGGGAGACAGCGGAGAGTTGGACATGCTAAGGCAACAAATGGAGGAACGTTTTGTGGCCGCCAATCCTTCCAAGGTGTCCTATGAGCCAATCACCACCACTCTGAGGCGTAAGCAGGAGGACGTGTCAGCCAGGATCATTCAAAGAGCCTACCGTTCCCACCTGGCTTATCGTGGTTTTGTCTGTAAGCGCAAACCAGCCAATAACAAAGTGGAGAATGGTGGTAACAATCAGGAACAAGAAAAGAAGGAGGGCACTCCCTCAACTGCCTCCCTGCCCTCATATGACAGTGTAACAAAACCTGACAAGGAGAAACAGGATGACAACAACGAGGGCAAGGGAGGAAGGAAAGATAAAGGAAGAAACCAAAAAGACATCAGGGAATCTAAATGTTAGGGCCATGGAGGAATAATCACAGTAATAACAATAAAGATTATAGAAATTTAACTTCAAGCAAAGTGAGAGGGAACTCACCCACACAGATGTACAGATTATTTCATTTGCAAGTCAGAAAAAATAGTATTCAAATAGTTTTGTTTACAGACTTAATTCCTTTACTGATGCAGAAGGAAGCAACTCGGTCTGTGACAACTCGAGGACTCGTGAACTTTAGCCAAACCAAACATAATCAGCATACTGTGTGGCATTGTTGTATCTAGACTACAGATCTTAACAAAAGAACTTGAAAACAGACAAGGAAATATCTGGGGCTCACCTGCCATTGGTCTATAGACAAGACAAGTAACTCTACATCAAGAGGTGGAATGAAAAACAGGAATCCAGCACCTGGATGCAAGTATTGGATTCCTTTGAAAGACGGTACAGTGAACGAAAAAACAAGGATGCTGCTTGATATTGACGAGGTGTCCTCATAAAGCAGCCAATGAGTGTTTTGTGTCATTTAGTACTGCAGTATAGTAGGGAGCCAATGGCACACTCACTCTTTGAGCGACTAGAAGAATGACTGGTGAGTGAAAGAAAGACAAAAACAACAGAGAGTGTTGACAGTTCTTTTTTGTTTTCTTATAGCTAGACATTGTTTATTTGAGCAGCAAAAATGCAAACTTATAAAAAAGAACAACATTCTACAGTTTGCCCATGCCACTCAACTCCTGTACTCATTTTATCTTTGTTATACCCACATCAAAATGCTTTTTTTACATGGGCTTTCACACCAAATTGGTAAAGGGTCTGTTTATTATGGGGTCAACTCGGGCCAAGGGCTTACATTTACTCCAAAAACTTTCCAAACAAATACATAAATAATTGTGCTTGTTCAATGCATAGAAATGACTTGCATGATGGCATGTTTTGATCAGAAATCTTGCATGAATTATCATAGTCCACAAGACACTAATACTCTGACCACACCGGTGGCTCGACAGTATGATCAAGACACGGTCAAAAATTGAAAGCTCACAGTAATTTGTTCAACAAAGATAAGTGATGTGCGGGTTGATAATTTAGAATAAATCAAATTTTTAGTTCATATCTCCACACATTTCAGATGTCTAAATGATGCCTCTGTAGACAGAAGAATGAAACTCATAATGCCGCCACAGTCGATCAAAAAGTAAAATGCAAACACATTCTTTGCTGCTCTGGAGATTTTGAGTGTGTAAGGTAAAGGAAAATATGTCTGTGTGTAACTTTGGACTGAGATGTTAGTTCATTTAGACTGAAATATTTTCAGGGGCGCAACAGTTTGAAGCTAAAAAGCTTATGTTTATAATTTGTGTGCACCTATGTGATGTTACATACCATCTGCCTTTTTTGTGTGAGCAGGCATTTTGGGAGTCCAACTGTCAGTGGTATGTGGGGATTTCACAGGTTTGGCAAACTCCTTTCTATTTCTTGATGTTTCTCTGGGGGTGGTTAGACCTTTCTGAAAGGGCTGAGAAGAGTGAATTATTTCTTTCCAATATTAAATTTCCTGTAGCCTATTTGCCTACATGTCATTATAAATCTGTGTTTTTGTTGTTTCCTTTCTCTTCATGCCCCCCCCCCCCCCCCTCCCTGATGTAATTTCCATGTTTTGGAGGATGATGAGTCTTATTTACACAGTTTTATAAGCCACATCAAGCCAAGAGGGCAAGGGTCTTGTGCTGGAGTATAATCGCCAGGTGTTCTTGGTGTCCTGTTTAAGCGAGAAACTAAATTATGAATGGGTGATGAGAACATTGTGTGTGGAGAAGCCAAAGAGATCTGCCTTGCCATCCCTTGTTGCCCTTTTTCCATGGAGTGGGACTGGGTTCCCATTCTTTTTTCGCTGTCGTTATTAGACAGAAAGACCCTAGAAATGTATGCAATGCTTGAAAATCCATCCCTTTTTCTCAGGAGATATTATAGATGTATTATTATGAGCTCTGCAACAAAATGCAAGTGAATGTGATGGGAGTATTAATGAAATCATGTTTTACACTTTTGTTTTACGCCATGCTGATGGACAATGATCTCGGTTGGCTGTCCCTGTCTGACAGCTGCCCAGTCAGGGGCCAGTTTCGTGCTTCCTGCTTATGATGCTTAGAACTATAGGGCTAGAGTCATCTCAATGAAACAGCAAAATAGCGCTTGCTTGTAATGGCAGACACTTATATTGGTAGCGGATTACATTTTTGGCTTTGTCAACATGGGCTGAAATCTGGCCTCAATAAATTTCAGTCAACAAAACAATAATGTTCACCCTGATAGCAAACACAGATGCAGGAAACACTGTGAGGAGATGTCATGAAAGTGAATTGGGATTTGTTGGTTTCAGCAGCACACACACAGAAGTGTAATGCTCCGTGGATTGGCCCCAAATTTCAGAAGTTAACTATAAGTGCTCTGAGCCTCTCGTTTTTCTCATACTGCTCTACTGCATAACAGATACCAAATACCCAGCAGAGTGCTGGATGCATTCTTATGGTACTGTGAGCCTAAGCACCACACCAGAGCTTTTGCACTTCCTGTTGTGCAGTGATGTCACTTTCCTGTTTATGAACTACTCCATCATCCGTTTTCAACTTTCCATGGTCCATTTGCTGCATGAGATCTCCAAAATCAGTGTGGGTGTTAACTTGAACCAAATAAAACTCTGAATGAAAAGCATAAAAGCTACTGCTGTCCATTTTCTCCAAGATCTCCATGGATACAAGAATCACTTGGCAGGAAAAAAAGCTACCATTTCATTCATTGGGTTAAAAAAAACTAATTCAAGCTCTGTTCTATAGGTCACAAACTGCAAAAGCTATGACTTTTTAAGAAACTATAAATAATGTAATATATTATTTTAACAGCATGTGTAGTTTTTTGTAAATACAGGATTACCTAAAAAACTACAGCTATTAATCTAACACTAAATATTAATAACCATAAATAGAATGGCTTCCAGCTGACGCCCCTTGTCACAATTGTTAGGCTGTGATGCATTGTTAGATGGTATAGATTTTTTGAGTCACTTTTCACAAAAAGAGGAGAGTAAGCTAAAAGGGTCCATGTTAAAAAGCATAAATTGTATTTGAAATAGTATAAATCGATATGTGTATACACAGAGTTATATTATGTGTGCATACATATGCACACATAATATATACACACACACACACACCAGAAAGATGTTTGTAACTCAACTCTCCTGTCCATTTTTTTTACTTTTACTTATTTCTTTGTCCGGTACGTTCAGAGAAAAACCAAAACTCTGGCCTGCCCAGGACTTCTGCATACTGGGTACTGGTGTACAGTGCATGGTGTTGTGCTGGCTGCTTGCTGAGAATTGTGGAGCCTGCTTAGGTGAGAGGATTGCACTACCAGCATACCCTTTTGTACCTGTGTGAAGATGTCCTCCCCTAGTTTTTTATGTTGTAAACACAAAGAGATACATATGCTGGCAGACACACACTCATGCTCAGAGTCTTTTGCAAGTAACTTCTGGTAAACCAGTATGCCCCAGTGTGAACCACAGCTCACTTTGTGTGACAGACCTTTGCTTGCTGCAGCTCCAACCGTCCACATCTCCCCCGAGCACACTGCTGCAGCTTGAAGTTGGTTTATAATTTTGCTGTCACTTTCAATATGATGTATCTAATGATTTAAGGGTTAGTTGTCTAAACTGTCTGTGTGTTTGTTTATGGTGCAATATCTTAACGGCACGTGCCTTTTTAGCTTTCTATTTAGTCGATCAATAAAATCAGCAATGAGGATCTCAGCACCCATGGAGTGAATCAAAACGGAGCACGATAGAAACTATACTTTGGTTTTGAAATGAACTCAAACTGAAAACTCACCACCTAGATTAGACTGTTTGGACTAACATCACGTAGAGTCTTGTAGTAAGTGCTCTGTCTGTGTGTTCTGTTTACTGGCTCATGTGCAAGTAAGAGAACAGCTTGCCTTCTGTTTTACACTTTTGTTCATTTCGAAATGTTGGTTTCCAGTCGGCATATGAGGCCATTCTTTTGTAGCATGACTGAGATAAATTTTCTTTTCTTTGAAAATAGGTTAACTGAAAAAAGGAAAAAAAAAACAACAACTTTTGACTGTCATTATCTCTTGCCACTAATACAGTCAGAAAGAGGACATGTGTTGCACAACCACATGGGAAAATTAAATGACAAGAATGTCTTCATTTGAGCATGAATCTATTTCCGAACAATAAAGCAGCCTTCCAGTTATCCCTCCGGCTGATGTCATTTTTGGTTAAAGAATGAATGGCTGTGAGATTCATGTAATGTGTCCCGTCCTATCTGAGAACAGATGGTTTAGCTGCTATCGGATCAACGTGAGGTCCAAAATGGTTCCAATTTTATGTGAAATACCAGGATCAATAAGGACATTTTGTCACTCTTTTCTTTTTTTTGTGTGTGAACAAAAACATAACAAACCTGAAAAAGAGCGTTTTAAAGCTGCACGACATGGAGATGTGCAGACAGAGTTACATAATGTTTAGCTCTGCAAAACACGGCACAATTTTCTTACAGAAACAACTAAATCTCACCCTTGTTTTTTGTTCACCAAATATTGTCTGCTGTATGTTTTTTTGTTGTTGTTTTTTTTGGGTGTGTCATGGTGCAACAATACTAATGCTAAGATTGCAGGTGTGTGTGCATGAGTGTTTCACCCCCCCCCCCACCCCCGCCCCTCCTGTATGTGGTGCACTGAATGAGGCAGGACAAGGAGGGGTGGGGAGAGAGGGGGTAAGCAGAGACAGCACTGCAGTGCAGATAGATGAATGCAGTGGCCTGGGCTGAGTCAGCAGCATGTTCCCAACAGGCTCAGACTGCACGGTATACGCTGTGAAGCACCTCCTTACCCACAGCGAGCAGAGCAGAGGGAGAGTGAGCTACTTCAGGAAGAAGAAAAGTAATGAGAATAATGAGAGGTCCACACAATTCACAGTGAGAACACCGCTACAGATTTACCCTTCAGCTCGCCAGCGCTGCCTCAACTTCTGGATTGCACCACTTCTTTTTGCATGGTTAATTTAACAGTGTCTTCACGGTGTTTCTGAGCAGTGCATGACATCACTTGAGAACAGTCACAATTACGTGACATTTCAGATCAAACATTTTTTATTATTTTGGGCCATTGTTTCAACAGAAATTGTCATGCTCACTCTGACCTTCTTTAAATGTGTGGATTTCCTTTATGGACACGTGCTGCAAATGCTTTGTTTTTGTTTCTTTGAAAATGTCTCTGGGTTACGTCTTGGTTGCATCTGTCTGAATCTGAATTGCAGGGTATAGCTGCAGAGGTAGGACGGATTGAGACGGAGGATCTGTCCGGTTGCACGAGGTGGCAGCAGGTTTGGGGAGGACGGGGTGAGACCATATTGTGTTTGTGTGTAGGAGGCACAGGAGAAGCAGAGATTGTTTCTCTTTAAGGCAAGAGTGCAATGTGCATTGCTGCCGGAATTAAATATCAGAGGGAGGTGGCTGTCTTTTTTCATGTAGTACATATAGTACTGTCAGCTTCTGTGTCAACTCTGCTCTAGCATGCCAGAGTAAAAAGCAGATCTGTGCTCATACATAGTACATGAGCCTAAAATGCATGGGCATAAGGGTTCACAGAGCAAACTCTGATAAAGACCTTACCAAGTAATGACCTTACCAAGCATCAGTTTTGTCAAAATGGCAAAAGGGTAACACATTTGAGCATTCAAAACCCCTTTCACCTCTCTCTGCATTGCTGTAGAATAGCAGCGCCCTCCTGCAAAAGATCTCACTGTCTCTGTTTTTGGTTTTCACCATTATGTTGTCTGCAGATAACTGTTAAATACTGGCTTTCTTGCTGAGATGACCCCCACCATCCTAGAGTTGAGTCCTTGAAATAGTTTCTCACAGCTTTCTACCACCCTCTAGTGGGATTGAAAGGAAATTACTAATTGATGTGAAATGGTAGACTGCTAGTATTTTAGAATTGTATGTGTCTTGGAACAAATATGACCTTAAACAGCCGTACATTTTCACAAGAACATACACACACCAAATGTGTTAAATATATATATAAATGTTTTTTTTCCTTTTAGTTTTTAGACAAATAGTCCAACATTGCGTTTGTTTGGAGGGACAGTGGAGGAATAAGAACCATTGCTATAGCTGTTAGTCCTTCACATAATCTTGAAGGAATTTCAACCCGTTCTTTATTTCATGGTAACTATAGGCTGTTAGTGAACCTCTCATCATTGGTCTGTTTAAATCAAGGTCAGAAATTTGTCTGTTCATGGCATTTTATTGTATTTTATTTAGCAGTTATCTGCAGTATAATGAGAATTTCATTGGCAGTGATAAGAATGGGCAGTGTAGTGATTATAACGCATATCCGCAAAAGAAAGACCAAAGGAATCATATCTATTACAATGTTTCAAAGATGGAATTCACCTTTTTTTCCCCCCTGGATTGCAATGTTTTCCTTTCTTTAAACATTGCATTCATTTGAAATAAAAAGCTCTATTCCAGTCTTCTAGTCAATAAAACATTTACCAACACAGCTTCCTGCCTGCAGCATATCATCACTAGCTGCAGAAGGACAATCACGCTTTAAAGTAATTGAAAAAAGCATCTGTTCCATTAGCTGAATAGGAATATGGTTGCATGACACAAAAGTACAATGTTTATGTTTGTTGTTTGTTATCAGCTGAGAGTAAGTTAAAAAAAAATTCATTAAAAAGTTACAATCATCACAGTAACATGTTTTTTTCAGTGTTTACAGCTATTTTGTGTTGTCAAAATGATGTTTGTGTTAAGTCAACATGCTGTATTAGTTATGAGTTGTCTTATTTACTGTGTTGATTTAACTAATTTTAGAATAGCTATTGAATGAAGTCTTTTATGAATGAAGTATTTTAGGTTTATATGATTACTTGACTTAAATCGGTCTTTTTGTTTCAGTTGATTCTGTTTTTATTCATTCAACACAACTGACGTAAGTAATGGATATGATTTACGTGCTCATACAAATTTTGTTTCAGTGATGATGATGTTGACACAACTCATATACTGTATATTAAGTGGACAGAATGGAATTACTAAATTCTAAACGAGACCTTCAGATTTCTACAGATTACCTTGGATGTCTACACGCTCATGAACACACCTTGCTCACAGACTGATTTCTGTTGTTTGACCACTCTGGTGGAAACCAACAGTAGCCATGTGTTCCCTCCGTTTGTACAAAATCTGGCAGACTGTAGACTGATATTGTCCAATAAAACCTGAATGTCATCCTATTAATTATAGATTCTTTTATTCAATTTCACTATCAAATCAATTTTTAAAAACAGAGGTAATCCCAGATTACATTTCTCTCTTGTTTAATGTACATATACTTCAGCTATAATTGTGTCACATTGAGGCAGAATTAGTTGATATAAAAAGGCTAAAGGTTTAAAGGAGTAAAATGAACGTAACTGTTGTAGTCATTTGTTTTAAACTCTTGAAAAATAGCCTGTAGGTGTCACTCATGTATTTCCTTTGGCTCTGAAACAGCTTGGAGAGTAAGTCCAGTTTGTGCCATTGTAATAAGGAACATAAAGCATCAAAAGCCATTTCAGTTTTGAAATTTACTCTTTTGCTTACTTGATGATTAAGAGACTGGTGAGAGAACTCAACAACAATGCACTGGAAGCATCTCTTTATGGCTCAAAGGCACACAGTGTGGAATGGGAACACTGATTTCATTCATTAACAAATACTTTCTCAGTTTTGCTTTACCTGTCTTTTGTTTGTTTAATGCAGATAATAGATACAGTGATTTACTTTATTGTGGAAACATAAATGAAAATACATCACACCGGCAAAAATACAATTTGATCAATCCTGAGTTTAAAAGTCAATATTTGGTCTGAGCAACTTTTTTTTCTTCAAAATATCCTGAATATATTTAGACAATTTTCTTGTAATTAGGGCAGGGTTAGGATTATTATTCTGGAATAGTTTCCCATGCTTCTTAAAAGACATTTCACAGCTCGTTGGGTGTTGACTTGATCCTGTTTGTTCAGCATGATCACACTGCTTCCATAACCATCACTCAACAATATCAGCTGCTATTTTCTGTACTGTTTTTGTGTCATGTAGAACATGTAGCATTTCCTTATGATGCTGAAAGCCTCTGTAAAAGATTACAAATTAGTATGGTATATTAGAGGTGAAATCTAAATAGAGCAGGACTCAGTGCTACAGTATTGTAAAACCAGTTTACAGGTCTGATTTTGATAAGTTGTATACATTTGATAAATTATATTAGGAGAGTTATTTGAAGCTGCTCTGGAAAATATAGTGTAGAAGTAGCTTGCCTTACCTTGAAATAACAAACAAAATCATTTATAGCTGTTTATCGTACTTATTGTCATCACACAATGTAATTGGGTTCTTTCATCAGTAACAAGAGAAGAAAAAGTCATTTGAATTTATCACAGCAGCTAGCCTTTAAGTTAAGTTGTTGGCCATCAAAGATGTGGCTGCAATATGATCACAGTTTGAGTGATGAATAACAACCAAGACCATAAAACCAAATACAAATCTGTAAGTCATCCTGAATAACATGCATGTGCAATATTTAGCAAATAAGGCTGCAATAAGAAATGGGATCAGGCCAGCGCAATTTAGAAGGATTAAATTAATTCTGCAAGCATTTCTTTGTGTTTTTCAACCTTATTCAGTGTGTGTTATGGACAAAAAAAAATCATAGACAAAAAGACAAAGTCAAGGATGTTCTTTTTTGTATATTTTCATTTCCATGACACGACAGTCTTTAGTGAGGTAGACTTTAACAGTTAAAGATTGAGAAACAATGACGTTTTAACTGGCATGTGAAAATTACATGAAATAAATACTTCCATGTACAACGTCTTTCAAAATGAGGTAGAAATGGTTACAGAGAATGTACAAGATACAACAAACCAAAGCTGAGTTACAAAGACAACACCAATGTTCCATTTTGGCTCCACATCCTTCACTGAATCAGAGTTACATCATAAAAGCAAATCTGTGGGGCAGGGTCTTTGTGGCGCACTGAAGAGCATTCATTTGTTTTAGCTAAGCGCTTAAAAACCTGAACATTTGGGGATACATTTATATTATTATTTGCCTGACACCTGTAATTTTTTAAGGATATTTTCGCGCTCTGATTGATGAGGAACTGTATTTCACTGGGCACAATCTTAACAAAATTAACGTTACGTCTCAAAAGTAGCATCAAAACAACTTGACTGAATTTTATTATAAGTTTTACTATCAAAATGGGATCCATTCCCCCGACATATGGGCACAGTTTCTTTGGGCTGGCAACGAGGAACAACTAAACTACAGTATGTGGAGTCCTGAGGGTTCAGAGTTTTCCAACAGCACATGATTAGTAAATATTTCAAAGTTTAAATTCAGCTCAGAAAAAAATTCAAAGTGACTGACTCGTGATTTAAAAATACTGACATTAGGACTGGGCTCTTTATTAAGACATTTGATGAACATTCCAAATACAGAGGATATACTGCAGTGTTGTGAATCTTGATATGTCAAAATGTGTTTTTCAGGAGTGCTTTGTTTTGACAGTTTAATCAGAAAACCATTCCCCCCAACACTAGCTACACTAACACTTAACATAATTTTTTCAAAGCTCCAAAACCTATAAGAGAATAACGTCTATACACGAAGAAAATATGTTTCATATATCTAAAAACTTCATTGATGTATATTATGGCATGTATTGTCCTTTTAAAAAAAATATCTGAATTACATTCAACATTTCAGGCTTTGGTACAAAAAACTTCAAGTTGTCCAGAGCAAAGAAGCCAAGTAGATGATGTCTGCACGTGTGCACATGCATGCGGGTTTTTTACACCACTGAAGGCCTTATGAGTTCATAGTTTCCCTGAAGTTTTAGCTATGGCTCCATTTTTCACATTGCTCCTAAAAGCTCTCAACCATCACCCTACGGGCATAGCATACATTCTTATTTCATAACTCTGAGGTAACAGTATTCTTCCTGAGTATTCAATAACACTACCATAAATCATCCTTCTGAGAGGCAAATGTAAAAAAGAATGCATATCAAAAAAGTCAACTACAGTTGATATGCAGGCAAATCTTCACATAGAATGTAATATTGAGCTAAAAAACTATAAGAGGCACTCACTGCCCTCAACTGCAAACAACACGCCTCTCAGACTGGGCTGTGCATCCAATCTACAATGATAAACAGACTTCTTGCACCATTAAGCTGTGGATGTTAGCTGTATTTGACTTGGCTGCTTTTGTTACTGATTAGCATACTTGCCTTTTTTCTGTAAGATTTTAAATATCAAAGACAAAGGCATAAGCAAGGTGAGCAAAGTAAGTTATCATATCGTGTAAAGAATTTTGATTTCATGTACACTCACATAACATGACACTTCATGAGCAGCTTGATATGTATAAAGTATACAAAAACACAAGTTGTTCAGTAACAAGACAGAATGGATAGACAGGGCAGGGCACCGGGATAGAAATTAGATCAAAGAAAAGAAAAAGAGAGGTCAAGAGTTAGTCAAAGGGAAACATTCATCTCTCGAAGCCAAATGATGCACCAAGCCTTGCAGTTAGCTTTGCTGCAGTGATTGTGCTGAAGTAGCATGGCAGTATCACCATTTCTGTTATTGCTCTCTTTACTTTTTGGTCAATGATTTCATTTTGTGGCGTGAGAGATCATATTGCAGTCACTGGCCTTTTTACATATATATCGGCCACAAATAATTACACCAACCTCGAAAAAAAACTCTGCAGTGCTGCTGCCACAGTAGAAGAAAAGAAATAAATAGGATCCTGAGAGAAACAGACATTCATACATTTACAACTGTCTTGATGCTATTTATATAAAGAATGCCTCAGCCCCGCTCCTATAACTTACCTCCTCAATCTTACAGGCCACAATACCACTCCCCTTCTTAATCTTTGGATAAACATGAATGGTGACAATTAACCAGGGAAACTACATTTTCTCTCTGAGAAATTCAATGTTATTTCTGCAAATCTCTTCTGTCTTAAGAACACCGTCTGGAGCAAGGGAGTCCTCTTAAATGCCAACTGGGAATATCAGCGCCCACCAGTGGGGTCCTCAGCCTGCGTGTGAGATGCAGGTATCTTCATGGACATTCTTTGCTGCTGAGTGAAGTTGTGCTCCCCTGACACGCTCTCACCTGCTAGGCCTGATGGCGGGCTGTAGTCCCCTGGTCCACCATAGGAGGGCGATATCAGGGGTTTGCCAGATTTGTAGGCTTGCGGGTCTGAGGCAGAGCCATTGATATCATAGCCATTGCCGTGGCCATTGCCGTTGCCTTTGCTGTGACCATTCCCGTACTTTCTGTAGCGTGGTCCCTCCACCTCTGGCCCTTCCTGTCCCTCCTCTGCCATCTCAAAGGCCTTGCGTTTCAGAGGCACTCCTGTGTCGGAGCTCCCTCCGAGGCTGTGGGCTGAGTAGCTGTAAGGGCCCCCTCCCATGGTTGGCCTTGGGGCAAGAGGAGTGGGGGCGCTAATCCCAGACGGCAGGTATGAGGCACCGGGGTGGTTGTATCCAGAGGACAGGCTGGTTTGAGGGTAACACCCAGGTGGGTAATTGTAGACAGGAGTGCTGGTGCTGTAGCTGGGCACTAGGGTGGGTGGAGCCTGCAATGAGTGCAGAGGGTTAGGTGGAAGTGCTGCACTGGGCTGAGGGTAGTATCCCGAGGACAGATAGGTGCTGTTGTATGCAGGAGGGTATTCCTGAGACGATGGGGCATTGCAGGAGCCAGTGCCGCTGTACCCCGGCTCTGAGGCCAAGTTACTGCTCACCACTGTGACACTTCCTGTAGCTGGGATCCCGACGGATGAAGACCCCACTTTGGTGCCAGTTAGTGCTTCCAGTCCAGGGTAGCATTCTATGCCCTGACCCAGAGCCCAGGGCTCAGATTCAGTTTTTATGAAAGTTCCAGGCTCCGAGTAGGCCCCGGTAGTGGAGCGTTCATATGACAGCTCCAGGCCCGAGTACTTCTCTGCGTAACGTTTGAGCAAGGAAGACGCAGTAAGGGCTGATATGTCATCACTGGCCCAAGGATAACCTGCAGGGGCATAGCCGCGGCGAGCGGCAGTAGCGTGGGGGTCATGTTTGTGGGCAGATGGAGGCGAGGTGGTGGATGTGACATCTAGGTGCTGCTCAGGCCACTGAGATAAAGGGGCAGCGTGCTCCGGAGACCAGTGCATCTTCAGACCTGACCGGGACAAGGTGGAAAAAGTTTACTCTAACATTATACATCATCAGAATATGTACATCAGAAGAAACTTTCACACCCAAAGTAGGTTTGACAGTCTCCTTTTTGTAACAGATTATATTCAGAACTAGTGCTGAGTCACCTAAGCAGACTGAGCCATTTCCAGCAACTCGTCAACGCTTAGCTCAACCTCTTCTACATAGTCTCATCGAGGCAGGGGAGAACTGTTCTAATCTTTACGAGAAGCCGGCAACATAGCCCCCAGCCTGGTCTCCACGGCGATAAGCCTCTATCAGCCTGTGCGCTAGCCTCTTCTTTTGCTCCTCTCACATTGGAACCATTGTTGTCTCTCTGTGAGTCTCTCAGTCCACAAAGCCACCCCCTCCCAAGCGTGTGATCTAATTCGGCCAAAACCACAGGGGTCTGCTGGATATGGGGAAGGGGGGGGGCAGGATCGCTGTGGAGAGAGATCAGTCTAGGTTTTCCTCCATTTTACACACTCTAAATCATTACTGGAAGGAATACTATATAACCATGAAATGATTGATTAATTAGAAGTCTGATTTTCATGTCACATGTGCAATTATACATGCACATTTACTCAGAGTAATCCACTGGTTTAGTGGCTCAGGGCATATCTTTTTGAACTGGCATTAGATTGACATTCCAGGCATTGCAGAGTATTATTAAACTGTCATGACCCCAGGTCTGGGCCAGGGGAGTTTCTTCAACAGCTCTGGATTGATGAGGATACTTTTTTAATGAATCTATTTATGAATCTAATTGTGTTTTATAATCTCAAATGTTTAGAGTGTGTTTGTTACCGATTTGTCCTCAAATTCCCCCTCTATTTGGAAGAGAAGGGTTTATGTTTTCACTATGCAAATGTAAAATATTCCATTAAATATGATAGCCATGCATTCCTTGCAGATGTTTTGTTTTATGTTTTTGGGACCAATTTCCCAGAAAATGCAAGTGTTTCCCAAGCATACAATATTAGCCACAATATTATGTAAGTAAAAAAATAAATAAAGATAGATAGCATACCCAAATGTAAAAGATGCTGGAAAGAAAAATAGTTGCCATCTGTATCAGTAGCTACATAAAAATAGTTATCTGAATTTATTCCAGAAAAACGAATGACTGTAGTGATAGCTACAGGTTTAGCTTTTATTTATGATCACACACGGACACACACTTGTTCATTCTCATCTTCAGTCTGAACTGGTCTACATGTGAAGGTTGTATCACAGGGACCACCAGATGGGCCTTTAAACAGTCCACATGTTGATCCCTAAATCAAATGATCCCTCAGCCCAATAATCCCTCTCATCCAATCCTGGGATTGCAGCTCTCAAGCACCACAAGCTCCACCCTGGATCTGAGAAATCCCTTTGCACCAGGGAATTCTGAACGGCCACCAAAACATGGAAATAAATATAACCACAGATCAAATTTAGTTGTAGTCATCAACTGTGATTTGACTGATACCTCACTGGTGGCTAATCACTATAAACTTTTTCTTTAGTTTCCCTCCTTTTATCTAGAATGAAATGATAATAATACCTTATTTAATACGGATATCAGTGCATGTGTCTGCACATCATAGAGGGATTACCTTCAACCGCAGGAGCCCAAAGGTTTAAGGCCTCCAAAGCAACCATGCCTGCAGTGAACATGACTTTTCTCAATACGGAGACAAAGTGCTCAACCATTCATCAGAGATCCTCTAATCCTGAGGGAATATGCGAGCACTTACCAAATAGCTAGCACCATGCAATCTCGTGGGGTTTGCTCAAGAATTAGAACAGCACCACAGCCCAGTGCTGTTATAAAAATGAGTAGGGCAAAATGTGTGTTGTTAAGTCACTTCTACTGAGATGTGGGTTCCTCTTTACCCGTGTTTCATCGTCCCCATCCTGGATCTACGAGGAAAAGGAAAGTGTTTTTGGTACTAGCTCCTACATGTTTACTTTGATGTCTCAATGTCTGAAAGTGGTGAAAGAAAGCAAACAGGATCCACAAAACATTAGCTTTCTGATGAAGCCTGACTTGGGACAATTATTAGTGACATCATTTTTCTTTTACTCGTTGTTATGTTAAGCAATGTCAACGGAACTGTTTTATTATCGTAATATAATGAAGTTTCTAGGTTAGGTTAAGGTGCTAAAACTGCATTACCAGATTTGTTTATGTCTGGGTTAATCAGCTTCACTGTGTTAATCCAACATGTCAGATAATGATGTGGATGCCTCTTTCACCTGTGTCATGTCTCACACTGGGGACTATGAGTCTTGTGGTAGCCAATATTATTTATATAATCTTGATTACAAGAAGAACCTTGAATGGTGCTATGATAAAGAGCTATCCTTGAAATGTCCTCTGATCTTGTTAGAGTGCTTGAGAGATGCCCCCAAATCTTGGATGGGTAATGCACAAGATGCTTCCTCATAGATCATCTGATGAGTGATGACATTTTTTGTCATATTACTTTCTTATGCCGCCCTCTCGGAAAGACGAATAATATGTCTATATTTTTCTACCAGATATGTAATTCCGGAGTTCCACACAGGTCAAACTCCAACATCTTTTTATCAGCAAGATATTGCCATCAGTCTCATTACATTTATATGCAACACAATTGAATTTTTCATCATGAAAGAAGTGGCTGTGTTACCAACAATGCCAAACAGAGAAGATCATTTTACACAATCAAAAAAGTCAAAGACATAAGACAAAAACACTGAAGTGAGTACATCAGGGGCTAAGAATGATGGAGGAAAAAAACTTGATAAAAAATGTCAGTTCAACTCAAATTATACGAAAATCAGAAAATGCAGTTTTGAGCTGAATTTTTTTTGCACGTATGCGCTTAATTGGATTCAAACTGACCTCGGTCTATGGTGGGAATATAAACAGATATTGTACATCTTTAATAAAAAGAAAAGTCAGGCTTAGCTGTGCATTGATGAAGGTAAATTCCCAAAAAAGCTGCTTTCCTTCACACATTTTATTGGTTATTTTGTCAGCAAACAACATTCAACAAAAAATCCTACTGGAAAGCAGCCCATTAAGACTCAGTGACACCTAAAGTATGTCAGAACTGTCAGATTAAAGATAATCCTTGAAACATACCCATAGTGTCATCTGACAAAATGTTTTTAAAAAAAAAGCAACTTAAAGACATCTGTGAAGTTATTTCAGCCATATTTACATGTACAATGATCTCTCAGAGAGAGAGTAAGCAACAACAGAAAGCCTCACACAGTCCACAGTGTTGTGGCGTCAGAGTGACTTCAGCTGATGACCAGGGCGTCCTGAAGCTCGGCTAGTTGACTGTGTGCCCCTATTTGTAGAGGCCGGGCCTTTGACCTGTGAAAGGTTTCGCTGAATGTCATGCTCCACTCTCTCTGCTTTCCTTCCTGTCACTCCAACACCTGAATACTTCATACATAATGTACATTTTGTGGATTCTTCTGACTACAAACTAATGTGGCTATTCCATATCATCTCCACATATTTGCGAGTATCACAAGCCCAAAAGAAAATCACTTGATTTTGTTCAAAATGATTAAACGATTATGAACTGCAAAACACATGTATGTCGCCAGGAATTAAAACCAATGGTAGCCAAGTCAAATAGATTCCTAATCAAACTACTAAATTACTCTATTTTCCCCACATATTATAATGGTGCTTACTAGGACTTTTCCCTCATGACCATTGTGCTGACAGAAACTTTGTTGGTGGTCTTGGTGAAATTAATTCCATAACTAAGTACCCCAAATCAGCCCTAAAAGATCTGCGTTTAGGGGCGTGACTAGCTTAACACCTGGGGGGGCAATAGAAGGGATTGACAAGCAGTATAAGGAAAAATAGAGTCATTCAGTGAACCTAAACTATGAGCTTGCTGTTGTGTCTTATGCACTTTAGTTTGATAACATTTGACAATGGGCAGGCATTACATTTTCCACCCAAAGTCAGACCAAAGGGAATTTCTTTCACTTAAGTAGAGGGCATCGCAGCAAAAACTGTGAATAACTGTAACTATTCAAAACTTCCTGCACCAAATGAGTGCTGTTGGTCAGATATCTTTTAGATATAGAGAGGACTTGGTAAAGCTGGGTTAGTATGGATGAGTGAGACGTCTATAACTCTAAATCTTTACTTCATGTTTGCTTAGGGCTATTTCCAAGCCCCACTCTTCTTGGCCACACTTGGCTTCCCAACAGATAAAGATGATGTCTAAGCCAGCTTGATACTATGATGACCTCCCTTAGTCCGCATGATTTCTGCGGAATAGAGTTTCATTTTAGTCCTGCAGCAAAATGATTACAAGATACAGATGAACAAAAAGCACACTGAAAAGAACAAAATTGGTCCAGGCCGCAATGAGTATGTTTAACATACACTGACTACATTCCAAATCCACTGCAAAAATGCCCAAAACAACACAACTTATTTAAAGCAGGCCCAGATCTATGAGTGATGATCAATGCTTAGAAACAGGAGAACAAATGGGTTCCTACATTCGCTGGTGATTTTAGGATATCAAAATGCATGCGCAGACCTAGGAGAGAATGAAACTTACTGGCCTATTGAAAAATGCATGGCACGAAAACCCATTACAGGTTTGCATTGTTTTGTACCTTTGTCAATGACCTATATATTGTTGCTCTCAGATGTTTACAATAGTGACATTTTTGTATCTACAGTCACAGCCTCAACGTCCACTGTTTGCTCAACAAGCTTGGCTTGGAAAATGGGGAATTTTTCTCTGAAAATACTATACATTTCTAAAGGTGAAATCTGAACAACAGATAAGACTATGTTTAGGACTCTTGCTATATATTATATCAGATGATTCAGTTTGACCAGTATTGCTGGAAATGGCCTGTGAGAGTGCTGTGTGTGTTGGGGCAAGAGCGTACCAAACAGATAAATCTTGCAAAATTGACTTATGTGAACCATAAAGAAGGAAAGAACAATATATTCATAAGTACGAAGGAAGGTGTGGACAACGATGTCAACACAAGCCTGGAAAGCTCCTTCTATCAAGGAAATTATTATGACTCATGGTAAACATGTGACCTTTCTCTTTGATCCTTCTTTAAAATCCTATAAATCTGTGCATTTTATTGGAAAACATTAAAAAATATCTGGAATGCCCAACTTAAAAAGTCCAAGTACCCTCACCAGTTATGAGCTCAAAATATAACATGGCTGGATAAAAACTGAAGAGTACTGGATGCTTAATTCTATTTAAGGGAAACTCTCATCTGAATATCTGGAAATTTAAGTCTCAAATTTCTTGCTTTTCTCTTTAAAGAACGGGCAACATTGCAAGTCATTTGTGGGGGGGTGCCTCGGTGGAGCCTAGTTTGACTCCTGGTCTATTGCATGGTCAGTATGAGTAATTAGGGGTTAATAAGATGGAAGTACAAGCGGGGGAAGGGCCTGACTGGGATTGGATTTGGGGGTTGTGAGGCATCAGAGATAGCCAGTGGGTTGGATGGGGAGTGGAAACAAAAATCACCCTTCTGTAGCTGAAGGGTCTCTGTTAGCGCTTTTCCCCTCTCACAATAAACAAAGAGATCCCCTGAAGACAGACAGACAATCAAAAATCACACACACACACACACAGACACATATTACTGCCAGCAAAGTACACTCCCACATTTTGGTTTTTATGTTGCTCTCAGCTTCAGCTGGCCAACAGGCAGAGGGACTCTTGGTCATCTATTGGATGAGTCAAGCTGCTGGAATTCCAAGAATCTAACCTGAGATCTATTTACTGAGCACATATCCTCTCCATGCGCTCAACTCACATTGTCCAGTGCCAGTCTCAAGAAAAGAAAATAGGAAACAGAGAAAAACAGAAAATTCTTGCATACAGTGCTTTTATGGTCAGCTGTTTCCAGTACATCAGATGACCTGTATCAATACAAATTCACTAGATTAGAAATAAAATGTGTCTGTAGAAGGGAGTTGTCAGGAATAAGGTTCGACAGCCTTCATCACACACACACACACATATATGTATATATATCTCCCAATGACCAATGTCATCTATGGTTAAAGGGTAAATGAGGGTCAGATTGTTATGCAAGCAGTGGCCAGTGCCTAAAACAAAGTCAGTATGAAGGGGAAGGGTTTTATCCTGCACTTCAAAATCCCACAGACCACACTGCACCACGTCATATTCAGGGTTTACACACCACTTGCATGCAGGTGGCTTATAGGCTACTCTGAAGTCAAAATGAGCTTCCAACACAACCAGTCAATCACTGTATTCCTGACGTCACAATCTCATTTTTTGTCCCTCACTCCCCCTTTTTTTATTTCATGCCAAATTTGAACAACCCTTCTGCTCAATCTGCTCCTTTCGCCCACTTCTCTTACGCTGTGTTGTAAAGACATAACTGTGTCCCAGCCTGTGTGGTCAGTTCCACCCTCCCCCACTCCTTCAGCTCACACACTCACATGTGGTAGAGGCTGGCCAGCCCCCCCCACACCCCCTGGCTTATTGTGTCCACTCATATATCAGGCTGCAGCTGACCAGTGCCTGCTCACGTCTTCTCCATCTGTCCTTCACTCCGCTCTTTCCTCCGCCTTGGCGGAACACGTCTTTACCGTGACCCTTAATGAGGATCTAAGGTGGGCTGCAATTTGCTTAACAAGCTCTCATTATTTATATGAAGGACTAATACATTTGTGTGTGGAAACAGAGGGGGATGTTTATGTGACACACTATTGAGGGGCTAATGAGAGGCTGTTGACACCAAGTTACTAACGATCTGGCTTTCATTCACAGAATCACTTCACCTTGGTAACAACCCACTAAAAAGCGCGAAAGCTGCTCATCTCTCTTTACTTGTCAAACAATCATCATTATGTACAAACGCCCCTTAATGAGTCTTCTATAGAATTTCATTTGAACTTTACCGTTTGCAGATTGGAAAACGGTTAATGTGCAAGATTTGATCACAGTGCAGTTGGAAACATTCTTTAAAAAAAAAGCCAACTTGTGAGTGGTTTTCAGTCAAACAGGATGAAAACTAACATGATGCTGTGAGTCAGTCTAAGCAAGGAATGTGGCAGATGCACATGACTAAAACTTGAATCGGCTCATTCTAGCAAATACACTTAAGGGGGAAAATGGCTTTAAACAGCAAAACATCTCAAAGGAAATCCATTGCATTATTCCAATCAGGTTAGTGTTGTAATCCTGTTAAAGCTTGGCCTAATCAATACCCCATTCAGTCAATATAAGCATATCAAAAAGCCTGAATAGGAACCTCTCATGATCAGCACAAGACATATACTAAAAAGGTCCCTTATTTGTGGTATGCCGATTAGATTTTGTCATATTTTTACACACCGTTGCTGCACAATCAGACCGTGTAAGCCCGACCTCATCAAAAAGAAGGCACGTTTCCACCTTCAAAATTAAACAGCAGGAGTTTACCAGTTATTTAATGATATGAACATGCTGTCAATCTGAATTGAGATAAAACTATTTCAATAAAAGCTGTAGAAGCACGAGTTATATGTTAACATTTCCCCAGCAACGCATTCAGCTGAGTTTGACCTGCAATCTGTTTAAACTGGTCGCCGACTGCACTCTACTCACACGGAGAGGTTGGGGTGGGGGGGGGAAAGTGTCTGAACACTTTCTGCGAAATTCCCCAAAGCAAAGCCTGGAGACTCAGCTGTTAAAGCCATTAGCATATCTGCCTTTTTAACATGACTCCTCAAAGCCCCCCCCCCTCCCTCCTTTCCCCTACTCGACCACATGAGATGGACAAAAGAGGAGGGACAGAAGAAGAATGCGTACAGGAAAACTAACTTGAGCCAAACCGGACGTGGATACCATGTAGGTTATGGTATCCGTGTTCAAATGTCCCATACTTACTGTATGGGGTGACAGGACTGAGCATTCTGCAGCTCGGGCCCCAGATGAGGAGGCGAGGGCTGGGTCCACTAGGCGTTAGTGAAGGCCCAGCTGCATGCTGTGGGGTCCTCCTGGATGACTGCTACTTCTTCTGCTGTTGACTGGAAGGTTGCTGACTTGGCTAGTGGCTGGCCTCCTGTTTAGCTCCATGGTTCATCTCACACTTCAACACCACCTTGACAAGCTGCCACCTGAAGTGTGCACACAAACCAACACAGCGGCCATCAGTTGCCTGTTTTAGGTCCCTTTTTTGTTTTGCCAAACTGAAGCCAAACAAGTGCAAACATGACAACTTGCACTTACTATAATATAATTTCATATAGTGTATTTGTTCAGCAATGTGTTTGAAAAGGACTTGCAGTGGCACAACCAAAAACCAAGTGATCCTAAGTTAGTCATGCAATCTAGTGTCTAAGGTCCTTTTCGTCTCGATGGGAGACGTAAAAGCAACTGAGAAGTGATACTGGGCGCAGAACGGGTTTTAATTAGCTCCTGGTGGCCGAAACACACACGTTTGTGGCCCATTACCGCCACCCGTGCGTTTCAGCACGAAATCTGCAAACGCATTTCTGCAAACGGGACTTTGAACTTTGTCCTGAAAGAGGACACCGTCCTGTCGAAGTGCGCATGCATTTGGGAGGAAAATGAAGATAAGTGCAGGCAAACGGGTTGACCTGCAGCTCCAATTTCGCAAATGCAACATTAAGATAGAAATTACGAGGCAAGCAAAGGAAAGCAAGCACATGAAGCACAACAAATAAAAACAAGGGGGAAAAACAAAAAAAACAAAAACAAAAACAAGCTGCACAGGAATGGACAGAAATTTCCGTCGGGACTGTTGACATTTCTCTTAGAATAAAACTCTTTTACTCCAACAGGGTAAATATTTACTGACCTGAGCATGCCTGGGTGTGCACGGATTCAATACAGAAAAAGTAATCCACTCTTCCACAATGTAGGAATAACAACAGGGAGAGCCGATGTAAACGTGATAGTGTGTAAGTGTGTGTATGGGGAGCGGGGCTCGCTCTCTCCTCTGGGATCCAATCCTTTTCTCCAACACTCCCCAGCTCGCCCTGCTGCTCTGAGCTCCCTCCCCCGCCTGGTGACAACAGAGCAGCACATACACGTCCCCCTCCCCCATCGCAGTACCCCCACCACACACACACGCACACACACACACACACTCTTGCTCTCTTTTGTTCAAACTATTTCAGCAGGAAGAGAGAGAGAGGATGGGGGAAAAAGTGACCAATCATGCAGTGTCACAGAAAAGCCTTTTTTTTCCTGCTCTGCTTGTGTGTGTACATGAATTTCTGCATGAATGCACTTCTGTGTGATTTGCATGATTGCAAACCATCATTGTGACAAGTTGGGACACATGCAAGTGAAAAATTGTGAATTTTCTCCTTCACTGATCACATGAGGGGTTCAGTTATAGTCAATGACTTCTATTGATCTGGTACATTGATCTTAGTATTGTAGGGAGGGGTTGGGTTGAAACAACCATGTCAATATTACCTAATTCCTCTGGTTTCCCATCCCCCACCACACACTCCCAAACACACACTCACAGCCACCGGCCTGCACACATGCAAAGGCAGCAAATGACCTCCACATTGGCCTCATGATTTTGACCAAGAGGTAGGTTCACTCCTTCATATCCCACAGATCTTTTTGTGATCCCTACTGTTTGCTGTACGGCAGCCTGCTTAAACACAGAACTAACTTTCTGGTTTGATATTAGCAGCGCAGGCTTGTGCACTCCTCACACCACATGCTGTAAACAGTCCCAACCCTCCAGGTCATGCTCTTTCTGCTTTGGCCGTGCTTTACACGGGCCCCTGACTCAAGCACATACACAGCACACATGTGAGCTTCATCTCTGGGGCCACAAATTGGGATTTCTACTCCTATGATAATACTATATAATCACATTATTTCTTCTCTGTTTTGGTCAACTCACCAGCCAGCCGTTATCTAAAAGATAAGGTGTGGTAAACTGTTGTCAGTTTGAGCAGAGGAGGCCAGTTTTTAAACCTTTCATCAGTTGAACTAGAGGAGTAATGGCTGGGTTGGTGCCGAGCTCAGCTCTTTCTCCTTGCATGCTTTGCTGACGAACACTGAAAAAACAAAAAAAAACTAAAGCTGCGCTGCTATTTTCCAGGCAAGACAACAATACATGGGGACAAACCTAAATGTTGCTGCAGAGGCTGTTGTTCTGGTCACAGGTAAGGTGGGCCGTGTGTTGCATTCTCACTGCCTGAGTCGGAGCCTCAGGGTGTGGTATCTGTCATTATGTTAGAAACACCTTCATATGTGGGTCATGGGGAAAGTCAGAGGGACAAAGTTTGGTGTGTGTAGAAATGACTAACAGAAGGGTGGATTTGGATGCAGGTCGGAGTGTTGGAGGAAAAACTGACCTGCAGATTTCCATTACAATTCACCCACTGTAACATGAGCCAAATGTCCACAGGAAGACATTTTTCCATGCACAGTCATAATGGCTATAGTTGAAATTGGACATGGTAATTCTAACCCTGTGCCGGTTTGGTCCTGTGGGTGGGATTGGTCACATGATAGCACCAGTATCAGCTGCTAGCCTCTAATTCCGTCTCGAGCAGCTGAGCGCTGACCCACTGCTCTACTGAACTGTCACTGTTATGATACTGCCGTTGGTGTGTGTCTATGTGCATTAGGGCGTTGGAGGCAGGAATGGAGTTCCAGATGAAAATAAAACACCTAAAAAAGCATCAACACATCGCTGCAGTTTCTACAGAGTTAATTCTGTACGTAGAAAAAAGAAAGCTCAAGCTTGGTAACAGAGAATGTTAGAGGTCAACTATGAGGCTGAGACAGCAACATACACAGAGAAAGGACAAAACAGGAACAGGAAAACTTTAGGAAAAGAACAGGAAATTTGTGTTTCGTGGGTATTGTCTCTCACAGACAATGTCAGTGTCTTTGTAGCACGGGGCTTCTGCTTGAAAGGCTGGTCAACAAACTTTAGAGGCTCGGGACTTATAAAGCGTGTTGTCAGATATCAGCAATGAGCTAAACAGCTGAACCGGGATGCAGGTTTTTACTTTTTTTTTTTTACAAAGATCATAAATATGATGCCATATTAATCCCTTTTCTTAATATTCATAAATGGAAAAACAAAGGCAGTCCCAGTATATGGTCGACTGGTACATTTTTTAAAAGCATATTGACTGCAATCCACTAGCTAAAGAAAATTGATCAAAGGGTTACGGGGTTCATGAACAGTGTCACACGTTGTGAGTGCACGTTAACACCCGAACCCCTCACGTGTGCATTGTTCAATTCAATTTTATTTCAATTAACCCTCTTCCCAGGGAAACAGTCTTCTGCCCAAGGTTAAATGGCACTGGCTTTCCAATGATTTCCTATTATAACACTTAGTAAGGGCCTACCACTGGCTTTCACTGTTATTTACAAACGGCAAAAAGGAAATGAAGTACACACAGTACTGCTGAGCACAGTCAATTTGAACAGGAAACACTGAACAAGAGAGAATTTGGACTCTTATTGTTTTGTTTTTTTATCTAATCAACCAAACGGCAGAAATGCCACACAAGGAAGGTAAAAGTCACACAATGACTGCATGCCGCACACAACAGGCCTACTGCTCCATGTTTGAGTGGCTTATTGTTCTCTGGCATGAAGGGCACAATATCCAAGTCTAGTAATAGAGGTTAGATTAATTGCTGACAAATCTGTATTCAGCAGTTCCCTTTCTCTCTGCGTGGCAGATTTATGACAGAGATTGATGGAGAGGAGGGACGAGCTGAGAGCCTCCTCTGTTCAGCTTGAAAGGAGGACAACAGTTCAGTGAGTCAAAGAGAGGGACAGGAGAAAGAGGGGGAAAGATAAACTGGAAGTTTTTGGGTGGATCTCACACATGATCAGTGCTCATTCTGATGAGCCTGTGGGAGACACACAACATATAAAAGTTGCAGAGAAATATGAGAACCTTTCCCTTTTTGAGGGGGATGAGAGTCATGTGGAGATGTTGCGCAGTCAGAATATATTATTTAACACATAATCCAGTTTCTGGATGAGGTAAGGTAGTATAAAAGGTTGTTGTTATTCTTACTTAATAGTTTTGAGTTGCCATCAGTCTCACTGTTAAATATATTGATAATAATGAATTGATAATACTGTGTGCCCAGATGTCTGAGATTGTAAATGCAACATTTGTGTGGGAGCACAGAGTGAGCTGGGTGGAAAAACTCAACTCAACTCAACTCTATTTATAAAGCGCTTTCATTCAGCCAAAGCTAAAATCAAAGCGCCGTACATGTCTCTGATGATCCTCTGTTCTTTTCTGGCACAACTCCTTTCATAGTTTCCTGCTCTGCAAGACTACAAATGATAACTGAATAAATGATTTGATGGTAACAGCAATACAAATGTAATGATTAGCCTGGACCAGCCTTGCTGAAAAAGTGCATCATTGGATCTTGTTCTAAAAAAAAAAAAAGAGGAAAAGAAACCAATCAAACTCATCAACATCACAGCTTTGATAAAACTGGAGCATATGGGTGATTTTGACATTGCTTTTGACCAATAGGCAAAGTGCCAGGAGCAACATGGGGGATCAAATGTAGTGTACAGGAGGCTGATTGCTGATCCCTTGATCAAGTGGCTGAGATAAAACCCATAGTAAATGTCCCGGTCACCTCTCTAACTGGACCTGATGTCACTGCCAGAGGCTTGTCTTTAGTGGGTGATGCAGCAGCCCCTCAGCTGCTTGCAATCAGGAGCATTTGTGACTGGGGATCACATGACACCCTCAGGGCACACAGACACTTGTAGATATCCACATACAGAGTGCAATGCATCTTTAACCTCATACTCCTTCCTACAAGCAACTCCTCTGCAATCAGGATCAGCTCCAGATGTGCTCACTGCATTCCCACTCCAGGATAAAAACTGGGGGATGGCTGCAGCAGAAGAAGGGTGACGCGTGGCCCGAAACAATAGGATAAAAAGGTAGAGCAACTAGATTGTATATCTTGGAATCTAAGTTGTCAGTCCCTAACCCTGATGATGTAACATATTTGAATTACAATGCATATCAGGTGATAGGTGCAAATGGGTACAAGCTGTAAAGGATTGTGTTCTACTGCCCCCTTGTGGAGCAACTCACAATACTCAAATACATCTACTGGTGCAAAAAAAATAAAATAATCATCACTGTCAGAGGATTTATTTGATAGGAAAAAATACATAAAAAATAGAGATTTCTTTTTTTGTCCAATTATTGAGATTTTTTCTTTTGATCAGAAAGATGAAAAGCTTGCAGAATCTTGAAGGAAAATATACAGAACAGTTTGTATTTTGAAATCATCAAAAATAATAAACAACAAATATAATAGTGTACAGTTAGGGGAGTGCTTAGAGACTTAAATAAGTTTATCCACTCAGCTGACCCTAACAGCAGCTTGCTGTCCGTGGAAACCTTCATCTGTCCATCAATTTTCTATACCTGTCCTATCCTATTCAGGGCTTCTGGAAACAAAGCCAGAATGATTTGTTTATGATAAAATATTTTTCTATCGTCAAATATATAAAAATATATTACAGATTTTTCTCTCCTTTATCTGAAAGTATTAGTAATTTAAATAAAGAACTGCATAGATGCATGCGTTTGCCAAAGCCAGAGTGTTCAGTGGTTATTAGTTTGACTATTTGAAGAAAAGAAAATCAAATTGCTGGTACTTTTTTGTGTTCTAAGCACATATTATAGTCCAGGATATTTATCTTTATTCAAATGCAGGGCAATGACTCATACACCAGTTTTATTCCCATTGCAAGTATATTGATTTATTTTCCATTTTGCCATAATCAAAAATTAAATTACATATACATATAAAACATATATAATCATTTTACTGAGGAATATCTGTTCAGTAGTTGAAAAGACAAGGCATCACGCTATGGCTCCAATAAGACTACTATCAAAGTTACTGCAGTACAGTTGCCCCTTTCCCTGAAGGCCTCTTCACTCCATCCTCTCATGCTGTCATCCTTCACTTTCACAGATTTAATGATACACTGTATTCATCTGCAGGATAGTCTCTAACACATTGACACAGTGCACATATTTTACTTCCGTTTACACATAAATTTGGTAGGAAAACAGAAATAAGGATTTGGTACAATCCTCAAAGATGGGACCAAGAAACAATGTGTTTTGATAACATATATATCCCACTCTGGAAAGGTCTGCGTTGAGTTGGATGTAAACACAGCATGGTCTTATGACAGGCACACATGAACTGTAAATAGAATTATACGAACATCACAATGCATGATCTCTCTCGGTCACATGTACTGTATATGTCATTAAACTATCATATTCTGAAGGCATTTAACTGCATATTTACCATACATTCACATACACATTAATGGGTTAAGAGCTAAGCTTAAAACACACAATTTTCAATGAAATGATTTTTGTCAATTGTTCATAGTCAGACTATGTTGCTATAGCACGTATATAATCTTTAAATTCTAGATGCATACCTATGTTCATTTTCCCCCCCAATATTTCACTTTTTATATTGTACATGTATTTACACAGTGAAACAGTATGTTTTTCCCACGCTGTTCAGTAAGTCAGTTATGGGTCCTAAGAAGAATAGAGAATTCATATTCAGAGGTCTGACAGAATCGAAGCAGAATTACATCAAGACAATGTGAAAACCTTCCACACATGCCATTAAAGATGTATAACTGCATGTGGTATTAATGCACTAACTGAATCTCTTTACTTGTGCAGAAGACAGAAGAGGTGTGCAATTTGGAGGAAAATTCCTTTAAAGTGACTTTAAAACAATGTATTAATTGACATTTATTTAGATTATACAGTTAAGAGAAACTAAATACAACTTGATGAATGGATCCATAATTATATAATATATCTAAAGACTGATTTATAAATTCAAAGACATTACATTCAGTGGCATTTTTCAAACATTATTGCATTTTACTAGACTGACAACATCCCTGATTTAGTCTGTGATGTCCTCATTTGTAACTGCCAACTGTTGTAGTTTGTTTGCTTTTGCTGCCAATTAAATATCAATCAATCATTGTTTTAAAGGTCACTGCACCAGAAATAAAAATGTGCGACAGCTACAGTTTCATTGACAAACTCCTCATGTCTACCGGCAGAAATCTTTGCTCTCCAAAACCCATCAGGGGTTTTATTCTTGTCCATTCATAGAAGCATGAGTCATATGCTGCATTCCTCTGCGTTTTTCTCATCTTACAGTATATACAGAAATAAGGAGGACATTTTCTATTACACTCAAATATAATTAAATAAATAAAGATAATCTAATAACCTAAAAGGGCTTTGGAAAATAAAATTTGCCACAACTTCATTATCTACAGAAAGTGCTGTTTGCAAATTAAGGGTTATTGAAATCATTCTATCAATCCATAATCATGCTGTTTCCCTTCATCTCCACGCTTAGATCTGAGTCACCACGTGAAGCTAAAACAGGGTTGTCTTACCCTGAGGTTATAAATGAAACACAAATCAAATCACATGTGAATGTGATTATGAAACAGGGGGAGTACACTGCAGTGGAACCTTATTTATCCAATGTGAAGCCTTTCCATTTGTGTGCTGCAAATGAGCTTGTTGGTGCATGCAATCAAACCATTTGTTTGTTTTGTGTTATTCATTTGGCTTCAGTTTCCACCAAAAATGGATAAAGAAGATTACACTGCTATATAAAAGGCTGTGACTTCTAAAAGTTGCCTTTTTTAATTATAAAACAAAAAAAGCTGTTTGTTATTGCTTACAAAAATCCTGAGCCTCCCCCAAAATGACCATTGTTTTAAAACACAGGGGCAAACACTGACTCAAGCACAAACCATTTCTCTGCTCTGGTTCTCTTCCTAACCCTGAAATCATCCAAAGTGCCTTGCAGGAGCATTCAACTTATTTGAGGTAAAGAAATAAGAAACACTTGACAGACTTGGCAGAACAATCTCCATCCAACACAATCATTGATTCAAAAACAAACAAAATATCTTGCTAGAGAAGTGGAAATCGGAGCACTTTACACTTCTAGGTTTACAACACGCACAAAACTGACTAGGGGTAGTGTCTCTGCTACTGGAGTTGAAACATGTTTTTAAAATATACTAGATAATAAATCATCTCATCCCCATTAATAAAATAAAATTTCTAGAAAATGATTAGGACACTGAATAAATAAAATATTTTAGGAATAGGGACTGATAGATCTACACAGGTTAAAAAATTAATCTGCTTTGTTTAAAAGGAGCATTTACAGCCCATTATAAAGTTAAACTGGAAGTAGAATTTTTTTAACGAAGCTACATGGCTTATTAATCTAATTCCATTCCTTTTTAGTCAGTTGTCACTGCTTTCATAGTATTGTTTTCTATTAAAAAAACAAGCTAATATATGTGGTGCAGAGGTCTTTGGTAGTTACTTGTTAATATCCAGTTCCAGAATTTGTCCAGGTCATGTTTTCTGAATCTAATTCAAACTTTATGACAATTCTTTACAAAGCGAGCTAACCAATCAGAACTCATTCCAATATGAGAGCCAGAACTTCTACAAATAGGCTAACCATTAGGTGGTAGTGTGAGGAGGCGTACATCACTGATAGTAACAGTGACTGGTTCAAAATGTTATGGTCAAGAGTTTCATTTTTCTAAATATGATCTAAAAACTAAAACAACAAAATACATTCACAAAGTGAGAGGTTTGACTTCACTGCAGTAAAGATGTGCTCAGCTGTTTCCTGTGCAGAAAAAGCATTCAGTTTGCTTATATAAACTCAAAATGACATTTAAAAAAAGGATGCAAATAAATAAATGTGTTTTGGCTGCTGTGATAAACACGGAACCTCTGAATTTGGAGACACTACCGATCCTTTGGCTACATCATGCCACTGATTTTTCATGTAGTCAAAGAAAACCTGGAAAAATTCCTCAAATTAGCTGTGTTACATAATTCTGCGTCACTAAGTAGATGGGGTCAAACACCAATAGGAGTCATGGGAGAGAGCTGGATTATGCTCCATCCACCGCTGCTCATACCAGTGATGTTACTATACTAATCAAATTATGTCAAAGCAGAAGCTTTGTATCAGATTCTCTGCCTTAACATCCAGTTTTTATTAGACAGCAAAGTCTGTTATGAATCATGTGCTTTTCTAGGTTCACAAAAGTGACAATTGCCTCCTTTACCCCTACCTTTACATTCATCAGCTTTTCTTTTTTTTGAGCATGTGATCGTCGGTGGTGAAACATTTAGACCTCAGTCTGTTCCTCCCAAATGAAGTTATCAGAGAAAACATGTTTGTAAAAACAAATAAACTGGAAAGCCAGTTATTTTCTGTAAACCCTTGTAAGTTCATGGTCCTAGTTGTCCTATAAACACACACGCAAGGGTGAAACTTTAAATGATCTTTACAGGTTAATATAGCATCATCCCTGCACTGTGCATTGTCCTGCCCTGTCCCAGTTTATTATTTGAACAAAGCTGGGCTAGCTGGACTTCAGTGAGACGATGATGAAATACAAATACCTGTCAAAGCCATTCTTGGTAGCGCAAGAGAAAGCTGCCTGCTGGACAGACCAAACCTACAACAAAGACTGACCGAGTAGATATTGTGACTAGTGCTCTAAATATGGCCAGAATGACTTCTCTGTGACACGTCTAGGCTGGAAAATACTTAAAATATTTGGAAAAACATATAATGTTTTAATCACATCTACAAGAACAGAGTGGAAAAGCGCATTTCTGCAGCAGTTGCCAACTCTTTGTTCTGCTATGCTGCTATGTTTTTCTTTTAAAGCAGTTTCAGAGCTTTTGTTTGGGGAAATAAGATTTGAAATATAGTTTTTTATGTACAGAACTCACAACAGCTCAAGTGCATTGTTTTTGTGAGTGGATTGCACCCTTGAGATTGTGCTATTATGGGCAACTGAGGGAAATAGTTTAGACTCATATCTGTAAGCACTGGTGTGGCTTGATTTGGTTACAGCAGCCAAATTGTGGCATCGTGTGTTCCAGAGGTGCTGTCAGGCGACACCGCCGAGCTGTCAGAAGTGTAGACTTGGTTCACTCATCAATGAATGTGATCTCTTCAATCCTGCAGGGTGAAACAAAATCTGAGTCATTGCAACACAGAACACAAGAGCACCCTGTTACAGACAGAGCAACATCCCAGTGAAGCATTAAAAAGCCAGGTGAGGACACAGTGTAGAAGGAATACACCTATTTCCACAAGATGGGGGTGAGGGTAAAAGAGGTAGTGTGGTCTTGCCTTTTTAGCAGCCACAGGACGAAAATCCTTTTGATTGGAGTTGAGGGATTTCCACACAGTGGTTTTAGACATTTCATCAGATATATTAATTTCAGAGGGATCACACCTGAGAGAGCGGGGAGACCAACAGGGGCATAAGAACACAAAGCAGACAGAGGACAAGTTGAGGAATGGCCTGTGGAGAGGTCTCAATATAGAAGTTTTCCCAGGGTACACTTGGAGGACAGAGCATAACACACTAGTCTATAAAAAGAGAGGCATGCACATACACAGCTGGACAAGTAACACAGTTCTGTGTTACCACCATCCAAAGATGCTTTTCTTGTCCATCTAAGTGTGTGTAGGTTACATGTGTTGTCTCACCTGGGGTCATGTGGCTTTGGAGTCTGTGTAAGATTGGTGCTCTCCATGGGAATCTGAACAGTGGTTGTATCTTCCTTTTTTGAACTGAGCATAACCTCGGATTCCTGCGAGGTACATTCAGAGCATAAAAATCCCAACAGCAGCATCAATATACTGCTGCACATAGAGATGAGCTGCACATCTGATGATTTTCAAAAATAATATACAACCTCTTGCATCTGTTTGGTTGCATCGTCAAGATTTTTCTTCTTCCACTCAGGCATCAAATCATCCAGATAGCTTAGTTCTCGCTTGGAGAAACACAGGTCCAGCAGCTTGCGGATGAAAACCAGAGCCAGCACCTACGAGCAAAATGCAAAAATACATGCCTTCTAAACAGCCCTTCGAGTGGAGGGCGGTTGCAGGCGAGACTGACTTACCATCATGGGGAAGACTATAGCAGCAGGTGAAGTCTTGATGACCCAAAGTAAGACCAGACAGGTGAGCTGGGTGACAGTGAACAGGTGCACCTTCCTCAGGGGGACATGTCGCAGATAAATGAAATCTGGCTGGTGCTTCGCTGGCATACCAAACAGTTTCAGCCGGTCAAAGAACTGAGAAGTGATAAAGATAAGCCCAAGTGGTGAAGAAGTTATAAAAGGAAATGTGAAAATGAGTCAGCACGAACAGAGAGACAGATGGTGAACAGTTTAAGAAGATGCACAGGTTTATGAAGGGCAAATTTAGTTGTACTTGGACAAGCTGAAAACATACAGATAACATAGAGGTTCAGTCTACAAACTCAAACTATAGAAACAACAGAACAAAATGTCAGGTGAACACAGGAACCTCAAAACATTTAGACTTAAAGGCCGCCTGTCTGCATCATGGCCCTCCACAGAAATGAATAATTTGAAAAATCTAATCACTTGGTGTTGAAAAGATGATAAAATATACAGCACTTTTTTTAACCTGATTAAAATTCAAGCATATTTTCAACTGTAACCTCGAAGTATAGAACAGGCTGTGTTTCTCTTAATTAAAGCTGCACAGACTGAAAAAAAAACTTTTCATAAACTATATCTGGTAAACATGCTTCAGACATGAAGCTTACTGATGAAACTCAGACTGTCTGTAATAGCTCCAGAAGACGAATCACTAAAGATTGAGCGTGTCATCAAACGTAAAGCAAACGTGCGACTGAATAAGATCAAAACATGCAAGGTGGATTCATTTAGATTCATTATCAATTACAAAGTAGTGGTGATGTATATATATTTGCTTGGATAGTCCTTTGATGGATTTCTTGTTCTTGTTGGGTTTCTAGAAGAACTTCAAGCAACACTGTCTTACTCATATGAAATCATAGTTTATCAGATTTCATATTACCTGGATGCCTTTCAATGAAGAAACTCCCATGTAGAGGAAAACACCATACAGCACTGGCATAGGAATGAACTAGAGAAAACAAAATGCTTCAATCAACATCCGTTCTTAAATTGATTAAACTATTTTAAGGTTTTATAGCTTTATGATACCAACCTGCAGGGCTCCAGTCATGAATACAGAGCAGCCCATGAGCAGGAAGATAACCAGGCCAGTGAGCCTCTGCTCTCTGATTCCCAGGAAACGGGGCTGCTCTCCCGGGGCAGCGCTCTCTGACTCTAGCTTCAGACTATTGACATGAGAGATAGACAGGACAGTAGCTGCTACAAACCAGGGCAAGCCCATGATGGAGCACACGGCCAGCATCACCCCCACCATCAGCAGGTCCAGATGGTACCCACAGCCTTTCTGTAAAACAGAGACTAGCTCAGAAAGGAGTTCAAAATCTGTACACATGTCAAAGCGGTCCTTCTTTCTTACTTACCACTAGTTTGTGTTCTTTGCGGTTGATGATGACAGCGGTTATCTGTTGGTCCATGAAAATAAGGATGGTGCAGAGAAGAGCAGGTACAGCAGCAGCCAAGGCTGTCCACCAGGGGTTGCGTCCTATTGGATTGATCAACCAGCCACGATCATCTCTAGTTGGCTGCCGGAACAATTAACACAGGTTTGAAGTTCAATGAGATCTTCTGGGGTTTACATCGATGATATGAGGATTTCTTTAATACCTGGAATTTGCTGGGGACCTGCAACTTCTGAGAAGGCACGCCAATGACAAAGTCGAGCAGGACCATGATGACGATGGTAAGGAACACTGCAAAGTCGCTGATCATAGACCGCACCTGAAAACCAGATCATACTGAATTCAGGCTGAGTAAATATTAATAATCTATTTCATAGTTTAGTTTACTTGCCCAGTCACCTTCGTGGGAAAATAACGACTGGTCTTGAATTCTTTGAGGGACGCAGACATGAGGAACGTTGAAAAGAACAAGATGGTAGACCAGAATAGAACATCTGGAGTATAAGGGCCATGGTGTCCACATGCTGTCCCGACAAAGTGGCCCTGCAGACTGATACACTCCTGTGGAGAAATATGAAGGTTATAGTGGAACTAAATCCGCCCAGATGACAGGGCGAACAAAGCCAAAAAGTAATAGCATATAGCATGAGAAACAACACATGCCTCCGGTGCTCTCATCTGAAACACTCTGAAAGGTTAATTGATTATTTGTCCATATCAATGTTTCCACTGTTCCTTTACAGAGTTTAATTGCGAACCAGAGGTTTAGGGGTCAGTTAAATGTTAACAAAAAAAACAGGAGCAGCAGACTGTATAAAAGAAGCCAAACCAGCCTCCATGTGTGAAAAGTTTAACTGCCGATTAATTACCTTAAACCTGCAAGATCTGAATGACTCACAGGGGTTTCAGGAAGTCTTTTTGAAGGTCTGTAAGAAAACTACCGTCACTTGATCTGTGAATTCAGTGAACTTTTTCCTGTTAGTTTTAGGTCCCAGTCACTCATGTCAAGTTGGAGCTTTAAAGAGCTTAATAACTGTTATCATGTAGACCGCTACTTTTTCAGGTTATGCTCTTATCCATTTATACAGGGGCCTCGAACCACATGAATGCTGCATGATTTAGCTTGTTTGCAAGGTTATGAATGATGATGGAAGATTATTGATTTTTCACTCCACAGCACAGGCTTGTGTGAAAATGACAGCAGCAGGCTTCATCAGGAGTTTGAGCGTGTCTGTGTCTGCTCTCAGTTGGCTCACCTTTACAGTAAGGTTGGCCCAGGGTACAGCAGAGGCCGTGATGTTTCTCTCACTCCACAGCTCTAAGGTTGTATTGCTGACTTTATGAGGCTCTGCACACCTACAGCTACAGAGAAGTCAGAATACACAGACAAAAAGGGTTAGGGGTGACTGACAGATGAATGGCGGGATTAGACGATTTTATTGAGATAAACTCCACGCGTAGATGAGATTTTTCTTTTGATTGTCTTATGGCAATTCAAAGAGAGATATGAATAGTAAAATGTCTCTAACTAGATTCTAAAAGACAGAGTGAAAGCACACCATCTTTCAGTTGAGAGGTTTTGGATAATCAAAGGAAGTACTTACATTGACAACATGTCACTTAACCAAACCAAAGCCGTTACACAATTACACTGCGATACAAGCAAAAGAAGAAAAGTGAACACTTCCACTCACTAAGCCAGTGTGAGTTTGTCCAGATCACTATTTGTGTTAAAAGGGTAATGTTCTCCCAAGTGGAACAGTTTCTCCAAGGCCTCGTAGATAAAGATGAGGCAGATGAGGGCTGCAAAGGCTTCCTCTGTGAACCGAGTGATGTAGCACACCAAAGAGCTGGCGTCTGTAGCAACCAACAGCAAACACAGCAGGGCAGTCCACAAGCCTATGCATGTCCGCAAGGAAAGATAAGACAGGTCGTAGTCCCTGAAGAGAACAGACAAGTGTTAAGTTCACACAACAAAGGTGGGTGAGCTGGTTAAAATGTCTCAAAGAAGTTGTTGAAATGCGTTTTTTTTTTTTTTTACAACAACGAAGCTGTCAAATGCCACACATACTTGCAGAATTTGAAGAGGATTTTCTCAAAAACCAGTACGGGGCCCGTGCTGCCCAGAATGGTGAGAGGCTGACCAGCAAACAGAGAATAGGCCACTCCAGTCATAGATGCACCAAGCAGGGACTCTATGGCACTCTAGAACAAGTGGTGAAATACAGGGAATTGGTTTGCTTTCCCTTTGTCGGTGCATACATGATCTACACAGTTCAAACACACTGCGATATGACTGCATCATTGGATGTGCACGCTCTTACAATGCGTCCTTCAGTTGCTTCCCCCAGCAGTCCCCCAAAGGTGATGACGGGTGACATGCAGGCACAGTAAAGGAAAAGAAAAGAGGCCACACACTGGAGGCTCAGGCCATCTTTGTAGTCACTTAGATAGAACGGTGCTTTCCTCTTTATGTCCAGTACCAGACCACCAAACAACCTTAGCACAGCATATGAGAAATACATTATAGGACACGCACCCTCATGTTGGCAGATTATGATCAAAATTGTGCACTAACTTTATGTCACAAGATATAAAAACAAAAAAAGGCAAACAAATCAAATATACAAGTACACATTTATCATATGAATTCACAGCTTATTTTAATTTGTAATCTTAAGAATACAAAACTTGTTTCATCACAAAAGGGGACCTCTTTCGATATGTTCCCTGCTGGCAAGAAAATTCACTGTTACTCTTTAAGGTGTCAAGTAAAGAATATCTGTGAGTGCGATTGTCTCGAGGCTGCCACTTCCACTCATTGGGATTGTCTCTTTCTTGTCCAACCACATCTTCTCACAGATCCAAATTTAGATTGTGTGGTTACAGAAGCTGACAAAGTGGAGATCCCTAGTGGGGAGCGCTATTTGAATAACAAAACTGGGTTCTCAAAATTTTTCAAACTTTCAAACGTATATATATATTTTTTTAGCTCCTGTAGTCATTGTGAATAGAACCACGTCTGAACCAACGAGTGGAGGCAATAAAAATAAATGAGCAGCTACTTGCCTCCCTGTTCTCTGCAGCTCTGGCCCGTGGTGTTCTGCATGCAGCTCCTCCTCCACTTGGCAGGCTGCGCCATTAGGGACTCCCGGCATCTTCCTCTTCTCCTGCAGACACCCAGGAACAGGCGAATATTGAAATGTTGCTGAACACACCACGAGGATTTGCTGCTACAATTCAACAGAAGCTGAAGCTGTGTACCTGAGAGGGTACACTCTTCGGAGGCTCAATACGAATGGAGGGGTCCCACTCTCCAGGTGGAAGGACTGTCACCTGATCCAGGAACTCATCTATCCCTGCCAGCAGGTCTCCTCTGTCCTTTGCCTTGTATGCAACATCGTGGAAGATCTGGACCAAAGAGCGTAAAACATAAGCAACTGATTCTTCTTTTTTCTACAAGGATTCTAAACCATTTTCTTTAAAGCAGCAGAGCAATCACCTCATCCGTCATGATAGTTGCCATGGAGCGTCCTATCTCATGGTATTGCTGAGCCTTTCCATCTGGACCCAGAAGAATGAAGAGGAACCTAAAACGTTTTATTACATAATAGGGGTTTGAAAAGTTGTTTTTTGATCACTGAAGAGGCATAAACTTTAAACTGGCTGTCTACCTGGTGGGTATGGGGACCTCAGTGAGTCCAGAGAGCAGCACGGCAGGGGAAAGGCGGACAAACGCCACAATAGGTCTTTCCAGAAAGTCCAGGACTCCTACCAGCACATTCGAAGCCTCTGCACCCTCAGGAATCTTTTTCATGAAATGCATGTCGACCTGTTGACACATTGGAGGTAAAAAAAACTGTGTAGCAAAGAAAAAAACAAGCCTATAGTAGTCAGCCTTTAAATAGGTTTAAGAATAAAGTGTTCAAATCCATAATGGCAGCTTAAAATCAAAGAACCTTGCTCTAGTCATATCAGTGATGTAATTGCAGTTCAGCTGTTGTTTCCCGGGGGGCACTATGTGACCTCCTGTTGATGTGTAAAGCTGATTACCCTCTACGTTAACAGCTGTTAACATTCCCTAAAATGTAGCTGTGGAAAGCGTGCCATCCATACATGCTGCTGGAAAATGAGCACACTTGTTTCACAAGCTGCTGGCATACCTTACTGAGGTCCACTTGATTGCTGTCTTGTCCGGCTACATTTTTGGAGGACTCATTGGCTGGAGGAGGCTGGGGAGATGTGGCTGACCCTGCAGGATGTCCAGATGGGAACGTATATGTACATGTGTGGGTGGGGCAGATAAAGAGGACAAATCAAAGTATGGCCAGTAGCACACAGATAAGAACAAACTTCAAAGGTAGTTTAGCATGTTTTCTACCGAATTTGTCCCCTGAGGCACATAGTGTTACTGTGTGAAGATCACTTTTATCTGTTTGTCATCTAGCAAGGGCGTTTTACTTTAGTTTCTTATGTAACATCACAGTCTAATATAGTATTTAAAGTAATTTCTGATTAAAAACTTGTTGGTTCAACTAACATTTTTCAATCTAATATGAGCCGCAGTTCTACTGCAGAAATATTCAAACATAAGACGACGGTTTTTGTAAGAGCACAAAAAGATATGAAATATGAGCAAAAAACACAACTGCTGCTCCAAGGCACAAGTAAAAACTGCAACCCTGTAGGGATATATTATGTGAAAGGTTCTAAAGGGAATAGAACTGGCAGGTTGTTTGTCGTGTTTCTCACCAGCCACGGCAGCTCTGGTCCTGAACTAAACTTTACTTTGATTGTGAAAGCAAAGCAATGAAATCAGAAAAATCAAAGTCCTTTGCTGTAAGCTTTTTACTGTGGCTGTGCTGTAGGACAGGAATAAAAACCATCAAAAACTGTACAGTAATAAAACATGGGAAAATAAAGCACCTCCTTGTCTCTAAACTGATATTATTAGATAGCTGTAGTCATGATGAACTTGTGATTTAGATTAATAAAATGGTTCACTCAGGTTATTTTAGTTATGCTCTAAGCAACAGAAAATGTGTAAAAACTTGTTTAAGAGAAATTGTGTTCTATGACATAAATTATAAACATCCTATAAATGATCAAACTAAGACTAATTTTACTGTTTTTTATTCAAATTTTAAATTTAGAACTTTTTACCACCATTTGTTCTCGGATCGATGTTCTTGACTTGGCTCAGATGTTTGTGTATGATATGCAGTATGGAACCCACCAATAACATGAGGCTCCGACTGTTTGCGCGCCCCCTCTGTGATGGAGCGTACGATGGGAATCAGGTTCTTCTTCTTTTCATTCTGGTGGTGGTGGCGTTTCAGCAGGGCTTCACGCACCCTCACTCTCACACTGTCATCCAACTCGTGTGATGCTTCCTGATGGTCCAGCACCATATCTGCAGCACACGCGTTCATTTTTGAACCCCCATCGAAGCAGCGATTTCATCTAGACTTTTTTCATATGAATTACACGTATCTGATCTCCGCTTTAACCAGGGATTTTACTTATTTAATATGACTTTTTCTTGTTATTACATAAATCTTCCTCAACTTGCTCAATCTGCCAGTTTCACTGTGCTGTGTTGGAAGTGTTGGATCAATATGTGCCCAACATATCTGCTCATGTGAAAAAGCAGAATAATGACTCTCTTTCTGTCTTCACATGCTGACTTGCTGAGTATTCTAGGTCATACTTCACCTCCTTTTCTTTTTTTGTGTCAGTCCTTCACATGCACACACGAATACACTTTAACACATTCACATTACATTTATTCAAGGCACACTTCAAGGTCAGCGTTAATGTGTTGACCTTAGAGCTGTAAAATCAGCCTTGCTAATTAGATAGTGACAATAGAATTGCACGAAAAAGCTCACAATCAATGTAAACCCAATGAAAAGTAAACCTCACATAATCTCTATTTATCTATTCTTTTAGTAGAGGGCCATAGCAACAGCTTTGCTTCCTTTATTATACTATCTGACAGCCAATTATGAGTTAGACATTTTAAAAGATTAATTTGAAATCCGTGTGAGGTCATTAATGCAAGATCCAAGCCAACAGTGGGAACAAACTTTTGAGAGTATTCTTAATCTACATAAAGTCCATGTAATGTCCGGAAGACAGCAAAGAGCCATGTGGATGACTCATCCAGTACTCATAATTGACTAGACGTTTTCCATAAGTTGTAATCTCCCCAGCCTCTTTGTAGGAAACACACACCCATGCAGCAGTGCATAATGTTGCACTCTATTAGCTATGTCATGAATTTTTGCTATCATGGTCATTAGTCTCTGTGTGGTATG